GCAGATTTGAGTTACCAGGCCTTCGTAATTTACCAAACTACCGTCGCCTCATAACGCCTGAGATTAAACCCATAAGAAACCTTGTTTGTTGTTATTCCCTTCACTTGACATCTCTTTTTTTTTTCTTCTTTTTTTCCAAGCTTTCCTCCTGGGGATTCCTATCTCGGGTTGCCAATAATTCAGCAGGTAGCAATCCCCGTGCTTAGCGCAGGATTTGGCGGGAATTAGTGGCGCCTTCCACGGCTCATTCCCGTCAGTTAAAAGGGCTTACAAGTGGCTAATCGCGTGTTTGGGGATTTGCATATGTGCTGCCTGTGTCGCGAGTTTTATTTCTCCGTCGGAGGGCAACGCGCAGACGACCACTGGTAAACAAAAAGGCGGGAAACGTCCTGTGGTCACTTTTGACATTTGGAGCAGTCTTTTTAGCCCGCCTTGACTAGACAAGGAGCAGCTATGAGTGATTGATCCCCGCCGTGTCAAGTTTCAAGTGTTTACCCGAGTGCCCGATTCGAAAATACGGGAATATCAAAATACAAAGAAGTCAAATTTCGACCAAGCCTTGTATAATCCAAAAGTGTTTACTTTAGGTCAGTGTTGCGTTGAATGGTTGTCCTTGTGTCTCTTCTTCTTGTTCTTCTCCTTCTTTTGAAAACGAGAAGTCTCAAATGCCAAGAGGCCATATTTTCAGTAGTGTAATCCCAGTAGTGTTTAGTTTGCAAATGATTATGAAAGAACTACTATGACTGGTTTATTTTGTTTATACAATTCCAGTTATTTCACAAATTACCAGATGGTTGTTTTTAATTAAACCTTGTTATAAGATTACAGTGCATGCTGTATTGTACCAAAACGTATTTTCCTTTTTGTCCTTGAAGAGCTGCACGGGTGGATGCCGTAGATAAAACTATAAAGCTTGAAATTCTCGCCTTGAAGGGCTAAGCAAATTTGTTAACCACCTTACCAATGGACACGCATTATTAAAGTGGCGAAATTTTACCTCAAACTGCGTCTATCGGCCGTTGCGAAGTCGTACTATCGGACTACATGTAGTGGACTCTCATGGGTTGTTGGGGGGTTTTTTTTCTTCTCTGTACATACATGCGCAGTGTGGGCAAGGAGCACGGCGTCCACATTTCATGCTACACCAGACGCTCCATCGCCAATTCTGTGTCGGTTTAATTTTTTGCTCCCGTGAGCACTTAAAGTTAACCGTTCACGCCTTGTTTGTCGAGGCGGCCGTTTTGCAAAGCTCGGCAAAAAAAAATGGAATTAATTGCCGGCTAAATTGTGATAAATTTTTCACCCCAATGTCGGCCTTCAATCGAAGTACCTTTCAAAAGCTTTCCAACGCGGATATGCTGGAAACTAAGCTTGGGGTTCCTAAAAAAAATATGGGCTGCGTGGTCTTATCAGAGAAGCCTTTTTTCATGGCTCGTGTTAGGCCATTCATCAAATTAGATGCCAATTTATTTCAACGCATGCATTCACTTTATGTTTACTGTACACCTGTCGGTTGGCACTTTATTACACAAATTGGGAGAGAGTGCACACAGCCCCAAGGCTCATTCATCTTCCCCTTTTTTCACTTTTCTTGATCTTTTGATATATCACGGAAGCTGCTTTCAAAGACAGTTTTGGTGTGAAACGTAAATATCAACTGTGAGAGAATATAGAGAAAACAATTGAAAATTTAAATTTCGCTTCCAATCTTGTTTTCAAAGTTACGCGTGTTTTTGATTGTTTACTAATAATATTGTAAACTAACCTGAAATTCCTAAAGCCGCATCTACACTTTTAAGGTAAAGTTGGTTGCACGTTTATAATCTATATACTTTAACTATCTTTCACAATTTTTTTTCTTATCGTTTCGTTGGGGACATTTTTTTAGAGCCGAAAAGCGGGCATTCTTTTTAAAAGGGCTTCTTTAAAATATTAACTGCAGTGTGTATCAAAAAAATTATACATTTAGAAAAAAAATAAACACTGTACAATGAAGATACCCAATCGGGACAACAGGCTGAAGTTAGATACCCGGAAAAAGACAAGTACCTCCGGTAAAACAAACAGATATAATGGAAAACATGCAGGTACCGACAATGTCAAAGCTTTTCATTAAGAAACACTAAGATGGTTTTCAATGCTAGCGTAGCACGGAGGGGGGGGGGGTACCTTCATAACGGAGAGGGGAAAGGATATAAAAAGAAAGACTCGACGGCAATTTTAGTCATTAATGTTATTAAATGTTAATGTAAAAACTGTTCTGGGCAGCTGGAATGCGTGTATTAAAAACTACTCCCCAAGATCTGAATGATGGCTAGCTCCCCCCCCCCCCGTAAAATTTTACGGACGAGTTTTACTGTAGGAAAAAAAATATCAACTTCCCCTGAAAATATCTCGCTTCACTGCTGACTTTCAAGCGGGCTAAACAGTCTTTAGAATTCAGTTCCTTCAGTAGATTTTGTTTTTTGTAAAGCTGAACGTATAATTATTCGTGTTCGTGGGAAAGTACTGGTACCAGTGGAAAATATAATACTATTTTTTTTTCTGTGTACTTGACGCCTACTCCTCGGTTGGCAAAGTACGTATGCGCACAATAACTGCTTTTTACCAGTTCCCGTTAATAATTGTACTGCCGAATACACTGAACACTGGAAGATTTAATTATGTGAAGGCATGATGCATGCACAGAGCTAAATAAATCTTGCTAGATAACTAGTATTGGTCCACGAAATCCTCTGCATTGTTGTCTGCGCGGTTTTGCACGGTTACAATTTGCGTAAAACAAAACAGAACTGTAGAAGATTACAGATTGTTTGACGGCAGTACTGTCAAACATATTTAAGGAAAAATACAACAAAAACAAAAAGTAGCAACGCAAAAAGTGCGACATACAGTTTTATCTTGTCATATTTTATTACTACATTAGCATTGTATTCAAGGGCGGATCCAGGGGGGCCAACGGGGGTAATGCCCCCCCCCCCCCAAAAAAAAAAACATTTGGGTTTTTTTTATTTAAGTGACGTCGCAATAAAATAAAAATATACGCCACTAACTTTCCTCAAAAAAATTGGTCAGAAATTGCCTCAGATCGCAGCACAGAGCATCTAGAATCAAAAAAAAATTCGGGGCCCTTAAGCGGGCCCCGAACCCCACGCCGTAATTTTTTTTTGACCAACTTTTTTGGGGGACTAAAATTTTTCTTGCCCCCCCCCAAGAAAAATTGTGTTCTGGATCCGCCCTTGATTGTACTAGCTCAAATGGGTACCCACTGACATTGATGATTCATTACAGAGCATAATGGTGAACATGTCTTTTTTGCTGGTTAAAAGTAACCAATACCAATAAATTAGTCCGCGATTGCTTCCGATGACGCGAGATGCGTAATCGTAGAACCGCTCCATCACCTTCACCGGTAGTGATACCATAGAAGCCCGTTCCAAAGATCATAAATTCTGCTAATTATAATAATAAAACGAGTATTTCACACCCAAGGGATCAGATCTGGATCTGCACTGACCGTATAAAATTACACGGAGAACCATTCACTATATACGATAATTATCTTTGGTGGCTACTCAAAAAGAAGTTTTCGTTTCCCAGCCGAATTTTACTTTCCTCAATCTGATTTGTTTCCATCGCATCTTTCCACTTTGCAGAGGCCTATTATTGTGTGCGTTTTGAAAAGACGTATATTGCTGATGTTTTTCTTCGATTGCAAAATGCTTGGGTTTCGAAATCCATTTGTTTCCATGCCTGCCACGTGACATTTTGGTCGAGTGGTTTTCATCGTTTGCTTTCTCTCCATTAAAATAACATTTTGTTCAAATCAGCCACCCGCATTTTTGACGGCTTGGAGCTGTTACGCCAAACTGTCGTGCATACTAATGGTCTTTCATAGCAATCGCTTCGCCTGAGACCGTTCCCTTCATTTTCATACGCCACGGCGGCTCTCGCCGGTGCTTACTGTGAAAACATTCTCATTCTGAGTTGTGTTTTTTGGATAAGCCAAGACGTTTATCTTTTGAGTTCAGACCTTATCCAACTACTTGGTGGGTTTATTTTACCCCTTCGGGCGGGAAAATAAAAAGCCGCCAAAAATGGGACATTGTGGATTGACAACACTATCCCCTCGTATCGTATAAACGTTTGCTGCGTCATCGTGCACTATCAACGACTGTTTTATGCGTCGAACCGCCTCGGGAATGTGACTTTGGTCACAGCTAACCGTGTTCTATGATTGGGATTTCTTGCAAATAAAACAGCCGTTCGGGGTACTGACAATGATTCCAGGTCTCATCTCTCTATGAAATGCATTGGTTTCGAGGCTGAGCCCCATGAGAATATTTTTGCAAGCATGCATAAAAAATCATGGTTTTTAAAATAAAGAAAAACTTAACATCATTTTTCATAGTATACCTACCTGGTGTTACATGTACAAGTATTAATAGGACCTCACCGGTAGGTTTATGCGTATAGAGGCGATGATCGTGCGTGTCTGTGCATCTTAACGCCTTCCCAATGAAACGCTGGGTACAAAACTGTGTTTTTCTTGTTTGATTATGTCTTTCTTTCTTAAAATCTTCTCGCCCGCAAACGGTGTTTTCATTGGTCATAGTCTATCGTATCCTGTCCATTTACCCGTTCTCTCTTCGTTCACGTGTTTATTTTTAATTTCCTGCTTTTTTGATGTCGTATATTGTGAAGCACAAACCTAAGACGTCATTCGAGGCTATAGTTCCCGGCGGAGCAATGACACGGGTGTCACAAATTGCAAAACGCTGCAGCTTCTTCGTAAGAAAAGGCTGTGCAGGGACATTATAAATTAGTACCAATACCGGGGTCTTCGATGCTTTTTTTGTTGTGTAGATGTAAAGGAACAGCCAGAACCCAAACCGCTTAAATTGAAATTGCTTATACTGTGGGGAGATGCTAAACTCTCTTAAAGTCCGTTCAAACAGATGAATTGTTTATTCACCGCCGATTTGTCCTTCCTTTGCAGTTTGAGTAACGAGACACCATGGTGGCTGTCTTGGTGATCGGCGTGGTGTGTGGGGCCGGTGCAGCCCTGATGGTCGTGGTGCCCATGATCTTGTACAAGTACACCAACTGCTGCGCCAGCTGCAAGAAGAAACACAAAGACCACGAAGCCCAGAAGAGTGTGGCCATGGCCAAACCAACTCAGGTAAACATTGAGATGTAGCGGTCCAACACAAGGTCCCCGTACGAGTTTGAGGTATCCGCCATTTTGAAACAAAAGCGAGGCTGTACTTGCAAAACAAAGACTTCTGCTTCATTGTGACGTAAACATTGAGATGTAACGGTCCAACACAAGGTCCCCGTACGAGTTTGAGGTATCCGCCATTTTGAAACAAAAGCGAGGCTGTACTTGCAAAACAAAGACTTCTGCTTCATTGTGACGTAGGTTTGTAAGAACCCATTCAACTTGCCAGAGGCAGATGCAAAAACGCCTGGTTTTTGTGACAATACACAGTTCTCCGAACGCTGAATTCTTTTTCCTTCAAAATTCCGAGCTACCAACATAATAGCTCAAATCTTCAGTGGGTTGCATAACAACTAATATGTATATGTATATAATATGTATATTTTGAGAAACAGGGAAAATATTTGCACATTTTGTTTTGTCTCGAAAGTGACTTCCGTTTTCGTTTTTGAATCGCGCCCTCTCGTGCACAATCCGTAAAACAATCAGCACTCGGGACAAGATTCTCTCTCAGTTGTTCGCTCGTACTCACCGCCCATAGGGCGGTTGGAAGGGCTGATTTCTTAGGGATGCATGACGTAACTCTTCCGAGCCCCCAATTGGATAGAATTGGTTCGAACAGTAACAGGGGTCAACACTTCTGCCTGCGCATGACACGTGCGCACAGAATGTACGTGCATTGATAGGGAGAGTAAGCCGCCCACTAATGCTTCGCGATGGCTATTCTTTCTTTACAAAATTGTTTGAAAGAGATTATCCCTTCCCAGCACCCTGTTTTAGGGCGTTGGGTAAGAGCGAAATTGGTTTGTTGTGGCGCTGTGGTCTAAGTGGGTGGGTACTCCCTGCGGTATTAAACGTGAATCTTCAAATCTACACAAGCACACATTGTGACACGCGCTCACTCTTTCAAAACTTCCTTCAATGACCATTGTTTTCTTCCGAACGAAATCGTTTCAGGAGATGTACCACCTCTTTTTCACTCTTTGTGCGCGGTTTTTCAGTAGATTTGTTCCTGGGCAACCACCAATGTTCCTACGTGCCTTTAACAAAGATAAATATCATTAAAAAAAAAATAGATGTAATGGTTGTGCCTTTTTTTTAATCGAAAAGAGAGAAGCCTTCGAAACAACAAGCTTTCATCTTTATCCCCGCTGGCAATGAAACAGCCAGTAGAAATTTCATTTATTTTAAAGCTCCGTGGCCCTTCCCTTGTCTTTGTATGTTTTTTCGTCGCCCATTTGTGCTTTTCGGATTAATTTGCCTCCAAACGCCGACGAAGTTCTCAGCGGCCGTGCCCGATAGGAATAACATGCCAATGATTAATTGTGCAGAGATTGAATTGAAATACGACGAGATAAAAATAGTTTCTATCTCCAGAACCCTGGTACCTAAGAGATTATTTTCCCCGCAAAGCTAGTTGCCTCGTTTTCTGAAGACACATCAATCTTTCTTTTTTTACATCTCCTTACAGCATTTTTATTCTTATTAAATGCGAATATAATTGGAAAGACGCACTATTTCTTTGATCTGATGTTAAGCCAAAAAAAAAATAATCGGTCTCTGGTCAGACCAAAGTTCCGGAATTGACGCGACGACGCGGCTTTTGTTTGTATTTTTTTTTTCTTTTTTTTTTCTTCAAGCTTGGATTGTACAGACAAGGTGGGGTACTATTTTGCTTTTATGGTGTCCTCATGTACATTGGTGTCCTCCATAATTTGCCTTGGTGCTCTCGATCATTTGCCTTGGTGCAATTTCCCATGCCTTGGTGCTCTTTGGTAAAAAAAAATGAGGAGGTGCGGCAATAGAGGGCGCTGTTGGAGCTACCACGGAACATTTTGGGAAAAAAATTGACGCGCATGATTAAAATCGACGCGCGCGCTGACCAGAGACCGACTTATTTTTGTTTTGGCCTTATCGTCATGCTCACTATTTACAAATTGGAGTTGCTTTGCTTTGCTTCTTTTGATTTAAATATTTTACTAAAATTACTGCTAATTATGGCATTTACATGTAAATACATGATTTGAAAAATTGCGTTGCGAGTGTTATGACCTCTAGTTAAATTATCTACAGAGTGTCCCCCAAAAAAAGCTGTGCAAGCAGATATCCTTTAATTTCTCAAAAATGATGGAGCATATTAATCACACTCTTGTGTATACATATTCAGTAAACATGCCATGGATATCCGTTCATGCGAACCAGACATCTAACAGATTATAAAAGGCTATGGGTTTTTCACCCGTTCCAATGGGATGAGATATATACACAGTTAACTACATCGGAGTGAAAGGCCCATGACAATCTGACGCACTGATATCACTAACTGTGTAAATCCCATTGGAATGGGTGGAAATCCCACAGCCTTGTACAATCTGTTACATCTCTGGTTTGCATGAACGGATTTCCATGGTAGTTTGACCGATTATTCACAAGAGTATAATTAATATGCTCCATCAAGATGAAATACCCATGTTAAGTTGTTTGAGAAACTCAAGGATATCTGCTTCCATAACTTTTTAGGACACCCTGTATTTGGACATAAAATAATATTTTTTCCCTTCAAATTGCAATATGTGCCCCTATTCATTCTGGGATAATTCATTTCCTTAGGACGATCAGAATAAGACAAATTAAACAAAAATATTGTAACAACGGGAAAATGTCGGGGATATTCCCTTGCGACACCTCGAGTGTTACTTAAGCAACACGTCTAGAGAAGGGGAAATTCACTCCCTCTGACTATCAGCTAGAGGGCGCTCTTTCGTCACTCTGTTTAACTGAAGATTCCTTACGAAAAAATAGATGTTATGCCTCAAGATTTGCTGTAACTGGGTACAATCATATGGAATAAATTGCATTTACCGTTGAGAACCATAACTTCTCTAACCTCATTCAAATCTGAACCACGTTAAACATTCAGTCAGTAATATTTCTGCATTTATGTGAGTATTTTTTTTGTCGCTGCCTTCACTGATTATACAAATCTAAATCTGTGCTGACTCACGGATTAAACAAACTTGCCTGCCGTAATAATGAGGAGCCGGATGGGAATGTTCCTGTTTTTCTCACAAAAAGTTTTTCCGTAATCAGCGAATGTTGAAATATAATTTGAAAATGTCCAAATTCTTGGTGTTTACTTAGGCTAATTCACCTTGGGCCTTTAGGAAAATCTGTTAGCGATGTCCTTTCAAACTGTACATGTTTCTTTGTAATAGTTGTACAATGTTTATAATGGTTGCTTTACAATCATGCAGTAATCCATATGGTTTTTTTTACTTCATTGTTTTGTATTGTATTTGTAATGTATTGTATTTGTACACGTTTGTGGTCATTTGTAGTGTGTATGCAGGGCCCCAATGGAGACCAGTTTTATTTTAAACTGTTTGGGCATACCCTGGGTAAAGAAATGTAATAAATAAACTGTTACGATATCCTCTTCAACTTGTAGGAGTTTTACATCCCATCGGAGAAGGTTCCCGTCCAGCCAGGCGTGGTGACCGTGCAGGGCCAGACGCCCCTGGGCTCGTCCCGTCCGGACCTCCGGAGCCAGATCTCCCACTCGCGGCAATCGCTGGTGGGTACGGCGGCCAGCAGCGAGGCCGACCGGCGTAGCCTGACCAGCGAGTCCAGCATTGGCGGTTCCTTCGAGTCGGACATCGGGGCGGTGCAGCCCGAGCTGTACGCCCGGACCAACGAGGTGTTGGTGCTGAAGGAACAGGTCGATACGGCCAAGAAGAAATGTAACCGCGGACGGTTGCACGTCAAGCTCAAGTACGATTTCAACACCTCAGATTTCGTTGTCCGGCTGATTGAAGGTAAAGAATTTTTTTCACGAGACAAACAAGTTTTGATCTAAAAAGACACTTGTAGACATAACATGGTGGACGGCATTTAATAAACAAGCGAGGAAGTCCAAATAATTAGTACGAAAGCTATCAGAGGAAGAAACGGCATATGCCTTGAAAAGCTTCAGGAGCAAAGCGAGACTCATTAACTTCAAAATGTTACATCAGTTCATTCTTTAAAACAACAATTAATTCGTGAGTCTTCTCGGTTGTATTGTTTTTTTTTTCCATTTAGCTGAGAATCTTCCCGCGATGGATTTCGGCGGAACGAGTGATCCGTACGTCAAACTTTCCTTGGAACCTGACCGTGACAAACGAATCAAGCAGTCAAACGTGCAGGTACAATGGATTCTTTGTTTTGCATTCTATTCTGTCTGTCCGTCGGTTTCTGAGATTTTGTTTGCTTGACTTTATCTGGGATTATTCTTTGTTCATGGATGTTAATGCTTTTGTCCATTTCTCAAGTCCTGTCGATTTTTTTCTCATTGTTGTGTCTCTATTTGAGTATTCATCAAAAGACAAAACAGAGTTGGAGAATAACTGAGACAGACGTATTTGTGTATCATGTTGTCCTTGAACTAATAATTTATACCAGTTGGCCAATTTTCCCGAACGCCAACAAACACAAGCTAGGGCATGATATTGTACTGTACGTTTTAACATAGACATAAACAGTGATCGGCTTCGATAAAAATTAATGAGCCAACTTCTCCATGCATTTCTCCATGCTGGCTTTTTAAATCAACAAGGCCGTGTTTGTTCAACAATTCTGCTGGGTATTCGCAATGGCAAAATGTTTTATTTTTCCAGTTTTACTACATTAACTCTACCAAGATGAAATGCCTTGCCAATCCGTACGAAATATTTGGCCCCACTTATTTATCATCCCAATCGTTTTCCTGTTTCGACCCCACTTGGGGACTTCGTGCATAAGCAGCCTTCAGCCATAAAACAAACAAGCAAACAAACAGATAGACAAATAAACAAATCCTGTGATCGATATGGACTCTGCGTCTTACTGTCGTGCGTCCGAAGTGAGATGCGTTCGTCTCACGTGCCAAGATGCTGCTCATGATGGGAACATGACAGTGTGAGTATTGGAGACGTAGGCTGTGTGGATTGGAATATCTTACCGGTCACATCATTAATGTGTTCGCTTATTTAACGAGATCCATGCATCTCACCATTTGTACGCGTGATTACCGATGGTTTTGCCGATAAACCACCGGCGGATTTATGCATTTGCCAGGGTGGAGGGGCGGTCTTCCTTTGTGGCGTCAGACCCGGGAGCATATTGAACGCATTATAGTACTGACGTTGGTAGTTTTCAGACCTATATAAAAGGGCGTCGTCGCAACTGTAAGTTTTTCGCTCGGGGGCGTTTGCCCCTTCCCCCTGAATTCCCGAGTGTAAATAACCACACAGAACGGTATAATTTTCCGAGCCGCAAGTTCCCCGTACCAGCATGGGTGCGCGCACGCGTTAAGTCCTGCACGGATTCCACAGGACGGTCCATCTTATGTCGAAACGCTCAAAACAAACAGCAGACATTCGATATTAATTCCCTCCTTACTTTGTTTTGTTTTTTTAGAGGAAAACTCTGAATCCAACTTTCAACGAGAGGTTCAAATTCCCCATGACGTTCGAGGAGACGCACACCAAGACGCTTCGGATGAACGTCTTCGATTTTGACAAGTTCTCCAGACACGACGCCATCGGTGAAATCACCATTCCCCTGGGAGACATAGACGTGTCTCGAGAAGTAGACGTCTGGAGCGATCTAGAGGACCCTCAGGCGGTATAAACCAACTCACATTTTGTGTTATGCATACATGCATGATAACCTTTGCTTAATGATATTTCCAAAGGCCGTATTCGCACCTTTTGGTAAGCATAGACAAACAGATTATGCCTAAACCTGTGTTCTGGTTAATCCTGTGTTCTGGTTAATCATAGCTCGACATTATACCTTCATCCGACGCACGCTTGTCGACTATTTGGAACCAGCTTTTTAGACCGATGTTGGTTGCATCACTGGTGCGTAATCTACACAGTAGATTACGAGGTTATATGATGAGCTTTTATGGTGATTGTGACCTGGTGTGACGGAGCCCAGGTGTATATAAATGACAAAATTATAGATGCTTTTACGGATAGACCGGAAGTGTGCGATGAAGGAGTACGGTGCATTGCATTGTGGGACATGCGATAAGAAAATGATTTCATGCAGCGCGAACTATATCCCTCAGTGCAGTGCAACATTGTATCTCAACTGCACACGTCCGGTCTGGCAGTAAAATGTAAAAGGGTCCTTAATGTTCCTTATCAAATTTGAGTACTGATATTTATTTTTGATTAACTCTGAAGTCGACAATTCCTTCGTGTATGTTCATTTGCGATTATGTTTATGTCTCTTATTCCAGAGGCACGGTAGTTTGGGAGACCTTCTGTTCTCCATCAGTTACCTGCCGACTGCAGAACGCTTAACCATCGTCCTCATGAAGGCGCGGAATTTGAAAACTATGGACATCAGTGGTAGCGCTGGTAAGTTGACTGAGATATAACAAAAACCCAACTCTTTCGGTAAGCTTCTTGTGCATTGGAGACTATTAAGCGAAATAAGGAAAACTGTCGCTTTTTGTTTGGTCTTGAGGATGCCATTCTAAAGGTCTTGAGCAAAGTGTCTGTAAAGAACACCATTTTGGGTAATGTAGACAGATGTGAATCGAATTTAATAACGTAAGTTTTAATTGCTATTGCCAAAAATTATATTTTTACAATTTTTTTTTTTTTTTTTTTAGTCAAGTCACTGCATTGCTTCGAAGTCCGGGATTTAGCGCCCTCACTCGCTCAAAAATTAGGCAAAATTCGTTTGTGTTTATTAGCAGGGCCGCGTTTTGGCGGCCCTTGACCTGGATCATGCATCTGACGTCACAGCCATGACGTGAAACACGTTTCCAATGCACCGCGAAATAAAGTTGAACGTGACGTCACTTTGTAAACAAACATGGCGGTGAGCAGACCATCATGACCACCATGGGAAGACGAATGTTTTTTTGTGAATTATGCACGATTAACAAGCAAAAGTCGGGCATGCAGTTTCCAGTATTTTCCCTCGGCAGAGTAATAGTGCATCAACTTTACCCAACCGACTGTACAAACCCACTGTTTGAATCCCTTTTGGGCTAAAAAAGTAACGTTGTCTGCTAAAACTTGTTTACCTTTCCGCCATCTTGAAACGTAAGTGAAGTCTCGGTTCAAATTTGGTCAGAACAATGATGTCATTTCAGTGTAACCGAAGCACCAAAACGGCCCCTAGCCAGAAACATGTTTTTCGGTCACAGCGCCAAAACGTGGCCCTAGATTCGCTTGGCGTCTTATTTGCTTGGTCTAGTCGTTTAAACTGCTGATGTGAATCAAGGCAGCAGAGGGCGCTGCCTATATGAATGGAGAGTCATTCTATTTTTCCAACAACGTACAGCTCGCTGAACGCAAAGGCTTCGCGTGACGATAACTTGACAGGGTCCGCTTTCTCTGAACAGCGCCCCCAATTATGAAACAGACAGAGCGAGAAAAAAAACTGTGATTCTGTTTTGATATTCCACAAACATTCTGAAACCATCTGAAACCATCTGAAAACTGTGTACAGCAGTAATTATTAAACGACCAACCAATAGATTTTTCTTTGTTTTGTTTGACATTTTAGATCCGTTCGTCAAGGTAACTCTTATACAAGGAGGGAAAAGAATCAAAAAGAAGAAAACCACGGTCAAAAAGAACACCTGTGATCCGGTGTGGAACGAAGCGATCATCTTTAATGTGCCGGCCTCTGCTCTGAAAACCTGCTGCTTAGAGGTATTGTATCGTTGCATAAAAGGAAACTAAAACCACTGATATTCTTCCTCCCTGAGGCTGTTTGCTTACAAGGGCGGATCCAGGGGGCCAACGGGGGAACGCCCCCCCCCAAAAAAAAATATCGAACCCAATTTTATTTTATTTTTTAAGTGACGTCGCAATAAAAGCAGGCACTGCGTACCCACCATCTTTTCCTAAAAAACTTGGTTAAAGTGGTCAGAAATTGCCCTTAATTCGGGGCCCTTAAGCGGGCCCCGAACCCCTTGCCGTAATTTTTTTGACCCACTTTTTGGGGGACCACAAATTTGTTTAGCCCCCCCCCCCAAAAAAAAAGAACGAAGCCAGAGATAAACACATGGCCTATTTGATACACCGATTGTTCTATTCCCCGACAGGTAATGGTGGTGGACTACGATCTTCTGGGCCAGAGCGGGAAGATGGGGGTGGTCCTGGTGGGGGGAATGTGCTCAGGACTCGGCAAGACCCACTGGAACGACATGACCCAGTCCCCGAGGAAGCCCGTGGCCATGTGGCACACACTGCAGGATTGACGTTAGGAACATTGTGGCGGTGGCAGCCTCGTCATTAGTGAGACTTCCACCAAAAAGTTTGTTGAAGGGAGTTAGATTCAAGTACATTGTACAACTACCGATGTTATCGAGAATAAAAAAAAGGACCAAGCTTTAATAAGGCAGTTCACCCAAGACTGCGGTTTGTTGTAGTTTTTAAAAAAAATGAGACCATTTCTCTTATCAGTTGATTTGGGCCACACACGATTACTCCAATCTTCTAGTGCTTCCTCTGCTATAAGCATGACGAATCAATTGACATTTAAATGCAAAATAGAACTTGCCAATATCATAAATAACACGTACCACGAAAACTATCTTAACTGTCTGAAAAAAATAATCCAATCCATGTGGACAACAGTATAGTAATACATATATGTACTGTAGTATGGATAAGATGTGCAAAATACGTTTTAGCTGACGGACTTTGTGTATCTTAACAATACCCCCTTACTTTTTTTGGGGGGGAGGAAACAAATCTTAGACTGCTGCTTTTAAATAACACCTGTTCCTTGGAATTATTGAACTGCACGAACAGGCTTATAATTTTTTTAATGAAGATATGCTCTCGACAGAGGGCGCTGTAGGGGTAACCAGAGTTCCAACCACAAGCAAAGCGAACGCGTCAGCAGATTGGACCAAAATGCTGCACACCCTCTTTAAAATGGACTCTTTTGCGGTGTCCACTTTAAACGTCACTTTAACCAATCAACTTACTCGTGCCTGCGTACGTATAGGGCTTCGACCGGAGAAATGGTTCAGTTTCCAAGAGTTGGTCCACAAAAATGCATTGAAATAATTATGATTTGTAATGAAAAGAAAATACTACTTCGACATGATGACCTTCTATCATTGCCGTTTTCCATTCGTGCAAAAAAAATCGTCGCCGCTGGTGATTTTCTTTACACAGTCAAAAAGACCATAGAGCACAGAAAACACAATTTGAGTAAAATTTGTATTTTAGAAAAGTATGTTTGATGAAACGGTTTAATTCCTAATTTAAATAGACTTCAGTCGCTCTTTAAATTGACGGTTTATGTTCTGAGAAGCCGGTTTGGACTCAAGATTTATTTTCCCTTACAACCCTGACAGAAATAAAAGAGAGGGCGCCAGATGTTGACATCAGTTCTTGTTTTGTAGGCGTGAAGGCATTACCATGTAACTGAGTTCCTTCGCGCGCTGTGCAGTACGCTTATGCGATGGTATTGAGTGCTAGCCCGTTTCTGCTTGTGGTATAGATTTTATTCACGAATCGGCCGTATTTAATTGAAGCGAGGTAAACTCTTCATTTTTGGAATATGCGAATGGAAATGAAAGCAATGAAATAAAATTTCATTACAGATTAATACCAGTCTGCTCTCTGATGAATAGTTAGCAAAATTGTGATTAAGCATACCCTAATGTTTTAAGCCACATTGAAAAAAAAAATTAAAGTGAGGCTTGGCACGGACTCCAATCTTTAAAAAGTATGGCACCATCCAATTCAACAGTTTACTATGTATACAATTGATTCAAGGAACACGATCAGAAATGGCTTCCTCGCGAAAAAGGTCCATACCTATTCTGTATTCAAACAGAATTTCCTTGAGTTTTTGGTTGTATGAAGATTTTTGCAAGAGAAATATTGCCCGCGAAAAGCTTTAGACAGGGCGCTCTCTTTAATCAGCCGGAACCGAAATGACGGATAATAACACATACGGACCTAACAAAAGTTTCTGTCTGTTAGACAGGATCGTCTTCAAAGGCTCTGTTCGGTGAACTTGAACTGTGGTTCGAGCCGATATTTGTGCTTCTGTGAACTAAATTCACCGTGTTTGTAAACTTAATTATCGTAATGTATGCACGCTTTAATGTAAGATTTTTAAAGAGAGTATTTTTGTAACAAGATTCGTATGTATATGTGACAAATGGTGGATGTTTCTGGGCCATTACTACAAGGCTAAAGGGTTCACTTTGGAACGCAATAATGGTATTAATTGTCAATTATCAATTTCTATATGTGGAAAATATTAAATTAAAGAGACAGTGGTCAGGGTCCGATGTGATAGAGCACGTACTAGATCAAGTTGTTTACTCATTCTTCGTCATTTACTTAGATTGTATATTTTTTGGTAAGCATGTGCTGACTTTTGTCTTTTCCATCATGAAGGGTTGATGACGTTTCACACAATGCGACTACGTTGATCAGCCATTCTTCTGTTTGCATATATTTGAAATAATAGTGTAAAAAGTTAGTGCTTTAGATCAGCTTTTATGGTATGCAAGTCTTACGTATAGAATGTTCCCGGCCAATTTGATAATATCCCTGTTCATTTTAGGCCACGATAAAATCAAGAAATAACTGGTTATAATATTGTTAAGTGTAATCAGATTACTAACCCTTTAACTCGGGTTCCTGCTAACAATTGTTCTTGACCATGCATAATTGAATTGTCTATTTTTTGTGGTTTCAATCGAATTTTTTATCTCCGGTCGAATCATGCTTCTTGGTTGCTACTTTTTTTCCTTTTGTCATGGCTTCCATTGTTTGATTTGTTTTTTCCATTTTGGAAAATTCTTTAGGATCAATTAGAATATTTTCGTCTCATTTACATTTTTTGTTGGCCTATATTCTATTTTTTGTTTCTTACTAATTGTTTTTTTTTCCCGAAGAGCGGTAAAGAAAGCAGTGGACCTGACACGTTTTGAGCCAATATCAAAAAGTAACACATTATCTTTGACGTGATAGGGGGAAAAAACACAGTCACCCCTTCATACATAATACAGGGTGGCCTAAAACAAATTGCACTGTTTCAGAGGCAGATTTCTCAAAATTTGGGACACACGTTGAAATTAATTAAAAGGTATTCCTAAGCTACACAATCTTGGTGGTGTTTGGTGAAAGCGGCGTTGAAAATAAAGCTGAAGTTAAGAAATAGCGGCCATTTACAGAAAATGGTCGAAAACTAGTTTGTCCAACTCTGTGGCAGTCATGTAGATCTCATTTTGCTGTTCTTTTGTGCACGTTGACGTTGTGCTACATGTATTATGTTGACTATCATATCTCGTGTGGACAAACTAGTTTTTGACTATCTTTCTTAAAACCATCGCCATTTCTTATATTAGGCTTTATTTTCAGCGCCGTTTTCTCCATACATGTATACTACGAAGATGCTTTAGTTTAGGAATATCTGAAAACAATTTTAACGTGTCTCCCAAATTTCAAGAAATTTGCGTCTGAAAATGTGTAAACTTTTTTGACCACCGTGTAGATTGAGCTTTGTATGCGGCTAGGAAAATGTGTGCAAAGAAGCTGTACCATATTCTAAATCTTCATTTCTCATGTAGTCCTTATTGTTTTTGAAGAGTTCTTGAAGTACACACGGAGTATTGTGGCACATAGAAATGCAGATACTCGCCCTTTGGATCGTAAACATGTATCTTGTGGTGGAAGTGTATATTGGGCCAATTGTCGCACCAAATGGAATGAGTATAGGTGGAATTTGATTGGGGACGTAATGAATATGTTCTACGAATACTAGGCCTATAATATTGAAATTGAATGGTTTTTGGTTCAAGTTCAATTAAAACGGTCAAGAATTCAATCAAGGTAGAACAAAATCTGGAAATCTAAAATAATTATGTTGTAACCAAATTATGAAAGTTTATTGATGCTATCTGTGTGTTGTTGGTTTCCCTTCGAAAAGATATGGTTATCCATATTTTTCAGAATCGATTTAACGATGTTTAAGTAGTTTGGATGTATGTTATATTGTGACTAGTAATTGTGTTGATACTGATAAATAATTTGAATCATAACTAATGTAAGTATATAACTACTTGTAATATTTCAGAGCTATATTTAATTATAAAAATGTATATGAGATATTTAATTATAAATAATTACCAGAGTATTGTAAATATTGGAAAGTTCTAAGATGTATTTAAAAAAAATTATGTAAAATCACTTTATATTAGATTATATTAATCAACTTGTTTTATTAAATTATGATAACATTTAGTTATAACACATAATCGTTGTTAACACATCTGGGTGTATTTTGGAAGACATGGTGCGTGTTACTGTTACCTTTGATGTCAATAACACATGGATTTGAAATTCTTACTTCTTGTCTCCGAGCCCCTTCTTTTTCTTATCAAGGTTTTGTTAATGTAATGTAACCCTAACCCCAAGCCCCCCCCCCCCCCTTACCCACCATCACACTCCCTTTCATCTTCGCCCACATTGGTCTGTCCCCTTATTCATCCCTCGTGGTATGTCCCCATTTTACCCATCCTTTGTTCGTCCTTCCATTCCATTCTCTGTGATCTTCACCTACACTGGTGTTCCCCCCCCCCTATTTTAATCCCCCTTGGTCTGTCCCATATTTAATCCGTCCATTGTTCGTTCTTCTTCTTCTTTCCCTTCGATCTTCACCCACATTGGTCTGTACCCTTGTTAATCCCTCGTGGTCTGTCCCCATTTCACCCATCCTTTGTTCGTCCTTCCAGTTCGTTCTCCGTGATCTTCACCTACCCCCTCCCCCTTGGTCTGTTCCCGGTATTCGTCCATTGTTCGCTCTCCCACTCCTTTCCCTGTGACCTTCACCCACATGACATTGGTCCGTCCCCATATTTAATACCTCTGTTGTGTTTCGCCTCCCAACCCTGCATGCTTGTGAGTCCCTACATGTTTGCTTCTTGTACCACTGTCAATTCGCCTCTGAAGAAGTTCTTGTTAAGATTGGAAGGTCAGGCCGCCTTAACTTTTTAGATTCAATTAATTACCGTTTTACTGCACGAACTAGGCTTCCCCAACAGTTGCCAACAGTTTTCCTATACATGGGGTTTTAAATACAAGAAAATAGATATTAACAGGGTTGGACAACGTTGTCATTCTAGGTATAATTATGATGATAATAACTCAACGTTTTTCAAGAAGGTCAACACTCTTACCTCCTAAATTGCATTACCTTCAAAGCAACAATTACCTCGAGAAAATCAATCACTTGCATGAGGCAAGTCCGACCTCTGAGATTTTTTAAAAAAAAATTGTTTTGTTCTTCGAAGAGAATCGATTTGGTCTTGTCTCGATTCCTCCAATGATGAAATGCATGTATATCAAAAATCAATCTTTCGTATGGAACTGTGCCAGTTTAAGGTCGTGGTAATAAGAAGGTGATTCATAAAAGTCTGTTGATCGCAAAACAGGCGACATTTTGTTACGCAGGAGCGTCCCGAAACGCATCGCTGGTGAACTGAGCTCCTGTATAGGCCTACGGACGGGTGAGTTTAATAAAGAAATCGTTGTCTCAAACAGCTAGAGAAGAAAATGCGCCATGTTGTCAATTTTCATTATTATAACAGTTTTAGCCGGTCCACGAGAGCAAGCATAGTGTCCCCCTGGTACCTATTTGACTGACTGTTACGTATGATTTAAAATTGGTTGTAGAGATCTGGGCAGTGCCATCGTATAGGATTACCCCGCAACGCCAATGAATGAGCTACATCCGGCCCTATTGACGAGGAAGCCATTTTAGATAGTGTTCCCTAAATATATTTTATAAACTGTAAACTGTTGAATGTGCCAGACTGCGCAAGGGGATATTCCATAGACTGATTATTCCACCCTTTAGTTCAAAATAACCTGCAGGATGCGACACGAAATAACATCTAGTATCATTACTGCCTGGAATTTTAAGCTGCCATTTGAGTCTGTATTGGATGAATTACAGGCTTGGGATCCACGCTCTTGATTTTGCTATTTAGCCTAAGCCGATAATCGCTTCAAGACATATTTTTCCCTTGTTGTTCCGGAATCAATAGGTTCCTCAGACAGTAAAGCCAATACACTGGGAGCAATGGCGTTTCTACTGCTGATATGTCTCCTCGCGGGTGAGTCTTCCAACCAGTTGAATCGGCCAGAACTTTAAATGATATTAGCGCAATCGAATTAAATTGGTTAATATTTAAAGGGAAAATACAACATTTGCCAACATGTTAGTGAATGACAGTCTAAAGCATCCTGTAAAATCTTGGCTCCTGGTGTGCTGACATTTTCAAGAAAACTTGAAATCGTTGGAGAGCATTGGGTTTTTTTTCAAATAAGTGCTCCTAATTTTTCATATTTATTTATTCCGCATTTTGTTTGCAATTGATAACACATCTGTGAAGGGGTACAAGTCTGTTGATTGATTCTCTGACCTATACAATTCCCCTAAGTCTATAAAGTGCAACGTCTCATCTTAAGTAGGGTCCGGGAACTAGACTACAAGAACATGGTTGGTTTTCTTTGATTTTCCAGCATCTGCAGTCCCAAACGTGAAACAAGTCAGTTTAACAATATTTTCTATAGCATACTAATCCTCAAAATCCATTTATTTTTGAAAATTGCAGCAAAAGCAAATGCTGTATATTCCCTTTAACTTTGTCGGACCAAGTAGAGTACTGAACTCAAAGAACAGTTATCAAAAAGTGTAAAGATCACCAAGATCAACGAAATAAAGTAAATTTATAAACAAACGAAAAGATAAAAGTGGAGAATTATTCTTATTATCTGCCTACGTGCCTTCATCTGAAAAATGTCACATGAAGTATGACGAGATTGAACAAAATTATGAATACATTATGTGGCATTAGACGAATTTGATTTCTGAATAACAAGGTTTGGCGTAGACGAAAAATTGTCTGACAAAAGACGAAATTAAACATTGGATGTGCACTAAATCGATATTTCTGGGCGAATTTGAATATTAGAATCGTTTACTGATTCGAATGATAAACGTTTTAAAATAGCAGGGAAAACATATATTTTTTTATTATTTTCAATCGACAGAAATTGCATTAATGACTGAGGCCCGGGTTTGTAGCCTTGGCAACGAGCCTGACCCAGACCTACCAAAGGTCACGCACTGGGTCACACTTCCGGTGCGCGACCCTTGCGACTGTTCTGTCATTGTGCCCGGCGGATTCAACACGGTACCGGTGCTGCAAAGAGGCGGCTCGCCGTACGTGCGAACACACTACCCTATGGTCTCAAGTGACCCGAAAGAGATTGGAAGCCATTTTGGTTGCGGTTAGTATCAATATATTACCTATGCTCTGTGAGACTTTTTAGTATGGAAAAAGTGAGCAATGGAGCTTGACACTTCGTAGGGTTTAATCCGAGAGCGGGTCCATATGTTTGAGTAGGCCCCACTTGATTGCGTTTCAATCGTATGAAAACAATCTTGTCAAACTGTCCTCATTTGCACCTCAAATCTCAAATGACAGGATTTCATTATCTTGTCATCTTGTCAAGATTTGTAAGTTTATCCCGGCTCTATCTTGTCAGGATGCGGTAAAATCCATTCAATTTAAACGAACGCAGTGTCAATCTTGCCAACCTTAATGCCCCCTTTTTCAACGGTACGTGTTAAACTTCCAATCGGCAAATGGTAATCGGCAGAAGAGTGATTTCCCTGTACTTTAATCCATATTAAAGTAAATCACTCTTCTGCCGATTGCCATTTGGCGATTGGAAACACGTACCGTTGAAAAAAAGGGCAAGGTTGGCTAGAATTCACACTGCGATCGTTTAGATTGAATGGATTGTACCCCATCCTGACAAGATAGAGCCGGGATAAATTTACAAATCTTGACCAACCTGACCTCTGTGCAACCATGGTGCAACCCTCACAGATCCCATACAGCAGGGGGTGCACGACGCCACCGTGGAGCCACATGAAGCCGCCGTGACGTCACCGAACTTGCCCCACAGCGAATGGATTAAGCTGATGTATTACGACCGATCTGACCCAAACAGCATCGAACCAGACCACAGCGTATTGGATAAGTGGAAGTCGTCCCAGATAACAGAAGTAAGGAATGAAAAAAGATTGATAAGCATGTTAGCAGCTCACATACAAGATGTGCAGAACAGATATTTTGCTATATGTCACATCGTAGATTTTTGTCAGCAAATTATGGTTGTAAGGCATTATAGTGCAGAAAACAAAATACTAATTTTTAATTATGAAATTGTTAATTAAAACAACCCAATTGATTAATCGACGGACGGCCTTGGGTGCAAAAGATGCTCAAATCTGTAAACGGAGAAAAGGGCATGTCAAAAGGTTTTAATGGCATCTACAAAACTTATTCACTTAACGTATCACTCTATATTTCGTGTTTTACTGACAGTGCTGACAGTGCTGATAGCTGATTAGTTTTGACGGTAGAGAACGAAAGCAAATAATACTACTTATTTCGATGGTGTAGATGGGGATTTTTTATGCATTACTTGCCAACTTTAGTAATGAAGCTCCATATCGGCTTTCCAATTTCCTTCATACTTCACTGCTGTCACTTTATATGCGGTTTGTGTATACCTAACCATTCCTAATTAAGGGAGGCTGCTGCAGTTGCCACGCCCATCGGGTGGTAATAGTCTCTCGGCTGTTTTGTCCATCGTTCATTAAACCTTGTCCTCCATGGTTGAGACCGGCGTATAATTGAGACGATCGTTGGCTTTCTGAATTCAGGCTATCAATTTAACAGCGATCGATGGATCTTGAATTGTGAAGACGGAAGTCTCATTAAACTCAAAGACCATTCGAGAAGGAAACCTTGCTGTAAAATAGTAAGAAGAGGCGAGGGTTTTAGGATAGGGTTTCAGATCGATTCTATTTATTCAAAATTATCTTCTATATGCTTGTGGTGAGCATGTACCCGTTAAAGAGGCAGTGAATGCTCGAAGACATTTCCGTCATTTGTCGGGTATAAGTAGCCTAAGGTGTGATGAAATAAAAACAACTATTGTGTCTGTCTTGAAATGAGTACAAAAGGTACTTTTTGAGAGCTGTTTTTCAGGTCCAGTTTCGACCCCAACGTGCAATTTGTGTAAGAGTCGTCGTTGGGGACAGCCAACAAAACACAGTAAATCGTGACGTAATAAACAGGACTCCTGATGCAACGTAGTATAAACGAGTCCTGTTTATGACGTCACGATTTACTATGTTGTGTTTGCTGCCCCCAACGACGACTTTTACACAAATTGCACATTCGGGTCGAAACAGGACCTGAAAAACAGCTGTCAAAAGTACCTTTTGTACTCATTTCATGACAGACACAATAGTCGTTTTTATTTCATCACACCTTAGGCTACATAATACCCGAAAATGACGGAAATGTCTTCGAGCATTCCACAACCTCTTTAACACCGGTGACAAATTTGCCTTTAATAGTGTAAAAGGCAAAATTGTTTACAACAATGACACTGTACTTCATAGCTGCAGACAATAAAACCCTAAAAGAACAAAAAAATCAGCAAGATATCCGCCATTGAAGTTATTATTGGCCTTGCCACAGCGACAAAATTACGCCCCAGCCAGTATTAAAAGATAGCAACACACCACGAAATAATGGTTTTCTTTGCCACTTGTTAGTGGTTGACCTTTTACGTTTTCTACCAAAAAATACCAAAACACGACAGGAAAATGACATGTCCGCTCCGGCGAACTCGTTTATTGGTGCGATCCATCGTTACACATTTTACGTTACGGTAACACTTCGAGAATCACCGTAATGTATTACGTGTTGTTTTACCCAGTCAGAGTTGTTTGATAAAAACCCAGATCAATCGGGATTAAGTAAAGTAACTGAGAGTTGAATATTGTATAGCAAGTAGATTTCAAAATAAGATTCATCCCCATACTGTGCATGTAAATCATCTATTTATGGACAATTGATGTCCATAGTGAATCGTGAGTTTCTCTTTAGTAACTCCAGTAATACAATGAGCTACTGCCAATCTCTATTTCAGGTCAAAATCTCCTTGCGAGGTAACTCGAGCGGGTTGGATTTGTCTTTTGACGCGAGGGGTAGCAACTCGACCTCCTGGTTCACCTACGATCGGCTGTTGAACTCCCCGTGGAAGGACTTGGATCACAATGCCATCTTCCGCTTGAACTGGACGGCTAAAGGGTATGTCCAGGCCCTCTAGGGGATCAAATGACCGGTCAAGTCCTTATGCAGAATTTCTAGTTTGAGGTGAGGGGGTGCTTAGGCTCAAGACCAACTCGTGCGTAACATTTTGATCCCGTAAAACACAAACGCACATTCCTTTAAAGTGTTGTTGGTTTTCATAATATGGTTGTACTTTTAATTTTGTAGACGTGTTTTTTTTTGGGGGGGGGTGGATTTTTTTGGTACTTTTAGTGAGAAACAACAACTTTTATATAGGTAGTAGTGAAGGTAATAGATCAGCAAAGTTACTTTATGAAAACAATGGTTGGAAAATGTGGAACCTTATCTATTTTTATAATCATTATACTCAGTGTTGTCCGAGAGCTGATCAGAAATTTTTCAGTTTGCCAGTTTGTTTGTTTGGGACTAGAGGTCTTATTTAACCAATCGACCACCGGTCAGTTCCAATCTGACATGATAATACATTAGATGACTGAATGTTTGCGTCGACATGCAAGTAACAATCTTATACACAATTCAGAGTCAGAAAAGGCAACAACCCTCTGATGAAAATTTGACACTTTTTCCCCATTTATTGTATTTCCAGCGCGGACATATTAGGTATCCACGCCGAGCTCAGGAGAAGTCATCCCGTCGAGGGTTGGCTGTTATGGGTCCCTTCGGGCGCGGACGAGGCCCAGAGATGGGGGACGGGAAAACTCCCAGTTATTGCCTTTGCCAGAACACTGAACAAGGTGCACTGGATGGACAGAGGTAAGCCTATATGGCTGTGTCCGAAACAGACGTTTTTGTATGAGGCTACGGATATTGGCTCTGCCGGGTCAAGGTAAAAACAAAAGCCGTATCCGTATAGTAGAGTGATTTCATACGCGGCTTGTGAAGAAGCAAAATTACTATCTATACCAATGGGTTGACATTTTATGTAGTAAAACAATACATTAGTTTGATTCGCTATGGCTATTCATTAATTGATTAAATGTATTTGCATACATTGGTGGTATACACCTATTTAATTGGTTGGATTTAGCCCATTCATTGGCGTAACGGGGTGATCCTATACAATAGCACTGCCCGATTGACTAGTGACGGTCAGTCAGTGAGTCAGTCAGTCGGGTAGTCAGTGAGATGGGTACAAAGGAAAGAATAAGCTGGCCCTCTGGGAACAGCAAAACAGATGTGCATATCTGACACAGGTTGGTCAGCAATCGTACGAAATTGTGATTAAGTTCGTTATGCTTATATCATTTTATATCTACATCCATAATGTTCATTTTCCTCATGTTCGTTCATAGATGTTTTGTCCCGTGGTCGACCGTCGATTCAGAGCTCCACCCCCGCCCCTGCACGCGGCGAGTACGGTGTGGACTCAGAGCCGAGGACGAGGGCAAGCACAGGTATAATATCACCCTTACCCACTAAAATATTCTGAAGGCGCCGGTGGCCGCTAATCTCTTCTGATTGTTAGATATTTGTTTGACCCTTGACCTGGTTACGACCCTTGACCTGGTTACAACCACGCACGCGCAAAGGATGTACCTGAATTTACCATAATACCAGCAAGTTCGATCCGGAACTATCCACTTACTATGATCGAATTGGTTAACATCAATCCTCCCTGCCCACCAGATATTCCAACATCCATTTTGTTAAGAACGTTTCAGCAAATTTTGCAAACAAATGCTGGGTAAGCCTCAGAGCTATTTGGCCCGAGGTCACCAGTAGCACGTTAAACGAGAAACCTACAATTGTGAGAAAGTAAGTGGGAAGTGACTAAAGTAAGCAAAACCATGGGTTTGGAATAAGGGCCATCGTGTTAGCGGAATTTATCAAATCGTGTTGCTCATTAATTTCGACTGCACAAAGCTTACTCCCGTTTATCCTGTTTCATTTGCCAATGCGTGTAGCTTACGAGTTTCAGCCGTGGTGGATGGTCGACATGGGAGGAACGTTCTCTCTGGAGGAGATAGTCATCACAGCTTGTGCACCCGGCGCAGGGAGTAAGAACCAATGCTGCTTTCGGATTTGTCTGTCCCACAGCTCCCTGAACTCTCTGTTTGTTTGTTTGTTTGTTTGTTTGTTTGTTTGTATCTACCTTTTCTATCTTTCAGATATTTAGTGAGGGTCACAAACCCTTCTTAAAACCACAAGTATAAGGTTATGGAAATATCCATGGTGTTTGTTTTATGTAGGCCTACTCTCCTACACGTTCTCGTCGAAAAACTGATTATACATTACAAATTGACCAGTTCAAAATATGTCAAAAGAACAAAACAGCAGACTTACAACTATGCAGACCTTAATTTAATGTTGTTATTTTTCGTTGAAAACATGCAACCCATTTTGGGGGGGGGATTCAGATTTGGTTTTTGCAATTGGCATTATAGACCTGAGATCTAATGACGTAATGGCTTTCTTTAGATATGCGCTTTTCATATAGGAGCGAAGTCAGGACGCCAGACGAAGTAGGGACCGTCTGCCACATAGGAAAGCGCACATGTAAACAAACCGTGACGTCAAATGTCTCAAGCCTATTCGAAATGGGTGTATTCCGAATATGTCGTTGTCATTTTGCCTTTTGTTTTGTCATCGTATTTTAATGCGGTGTTAAATATTTAATTAGCTTGATAATAAAATGATGATGAAAATAAAATAACTGATGATTCCTTAAATCAATCATTTCTATCGTGCAGAGACCGAGTTGACTGGAGCGCAGTTCCGCGTGGGTGTCAGCCAGGCGATAGACGAGGGAACACTGTGCGGGTCACCGGTGCGTGAGCCGGCCGGCGAGAGTACCAGCCTCACCATCCTGTGCCCTAACAACATGCCATCTGCGCGGTACCTGGGCATGAAGATTGACGGAGAAAACGGCGTCCTGGGGTTCTGTGACATCGTTCTCGATGCAGATGGGGGTGAGCAGCTGTAACCGAGACTTTGGAAAGTTTAAAATAAAGCTATCCTTACTGTAGACTACATACAGGGAGAGTAGGTGGCTGAATACGTTACCCATACAGGGGGGTTAAAAAAAAAATAAAAAAGGAATCCCAAATGGCGCCCCCTATTTTTTTTTTTAAGGTCTGCATGTAGCGCGTTTAAGATCTAGGATATCCAAGCCCAATTAATAAGCTTTATTTTAGTTCTTCTTGCTCATGTACTTTTCAAGACTTTTAAACACAAACACAGTTTTATAATTTTGTCCACGGATCACAATAAAGGTGATATTTCAGCAAAACGAAAACAAATCACATTATCACAAAAATACCTGAACACTCTCACAACAATGATAACTGGCCCTTATCATAACCTTTATTTAAATATCTTCTGCTTCCAATGTTAAAACAACATGCTTTATAATGTCAAGAGTTTATAGTCTTGCCCCACCTTCTACTTGGCTACCCGGAGACTTATGGGATTATTCTGATATCGTTGTCATGATACGACATGGTAATTGTACACAATTTTAAAACTATGTTTGTGTTCAAAACTCAAAAAGTACATTAGCGATTTGAATGATTCTTGTACTAAAAGAAAGCTTATAAATTGGGCTTTCACATCCTAGATCTGGAAAGCGCTACATGTAGAACTTTTTTTTAGAAAACATGGGGCGCCATTTGGGTTTCCTTTTTTTTTTACTCACCCTGAACTCAGGAGCGGAAGTGAGGAGCACGGGTGCATGCACGGTCACTAATTCGCGCGCGCGTAATATGGCGTACACTTTTGACGCACAAAAAAATAGCTTCTTATATCATCATTTTGTGTGGTTATTTCACCAAACCAAATTATATATAATATTAACATTTTGATGTGAAATGCACATTGCCGTAGTGTGCCAGATGAAATAACCACGCGAAACGAGCACCTTTATCCGAGCTGCATACGTATCCCGTACCCGTATAATTTTGGTATTGGTCCCAATTATGGCAGGGGCCATTAAAATGATTCAAATGCCGGAAACGAATGCGGCTCAGAAAATGTCGTGTACGTCAGGTTTGTAAAGGCTGTGTTATCCTAAGAATTCAACGCATCAATTCATTGCTCATCATGCGCAGTGGGAATTTGAGATGAACGCTTTATGAACACGACTTCACATAACTCTGAACCCTTTTTTCATACTCGTATTCAGTCACATGAGTTTGAGGCAAGGAATCCGTCCCGTTAATCTGGTGTTAGGTCGTGAAGTGTTTTCTACATTTTTTTATTGGACGATTCACAGGGCCAAGCCCGATGTTGGTGGGACGGCCCACCTGGCAGAGCAGCGTACTGGCCCGTAACGCCTCGCTGTGCGTTGACGGTCTGGTGGGTGTACACGAAGCGGACCTTACTTGCTGCCAAACAGGTAAGGCAGAGTATAACTTATCATCAATGATGTAGCATCGAAAGAAGTTGTATAAAAAGTTCCTACTGTGGACATTTCGATGCCAAAATTGTCATTAAAGGCCACGAGACATTCGGTTTTTTGGGGTTGTGTGCGTTTTCCCCATTTGAAGCAAGTATTGCAACCATTCTAAACCACCTTAAATTTTTTCCCGAACGATTTCATGCGAGATAATATCTTAGGGTATTTGGTACCAGTCCCTTGGTCACTTTGAGAAATGTTTTTCTCATTGAACCAGTAGTCGTTTCCCGGTAGATACCAACGTTCATTCTACCATGGATAACGCCAATACGAAATGATATATTTTCTTGTAAAATACAACGGTGGAAGCAAACCCTGGCCTGCGGCAGTAGTAAACGAAAATCTACAGTTGATAACTCCTTGGTATGTCTCTCTTTGTTTAAGATGAAGAGAGCGACTCTTGGTGGCAAGTCGACCTGGGGGAAGTCGTGACGGTGACTATGGTAGTCATCAGTCCTTTCCCTGATCTCACCAAATGTGGGTAATCTTGGACTTCAAGTCTGTTCCACGCCATTTGGGTGTATTATAGTTCGATGTTAAAAGTACATTTGAGAATCTGCAGCCGATCTCAGGAAGCATTTGCGTGTAACTTACCCCATGCACACTTAACGCAACAACTCTGTTTAATTTATATATAGCTGCGCAATAATCTTGCGGTCAATTTCACGAAACTCCGCGTATCTGCGCACGGTTTTAATTGTAAACTTCTCGCAAGAGGATTACCACAGCTCTTAAAACGGCTGTTTCTGTGCGATTTGATATTAATGAAAAAAATAAAACAACGATTGAAACACCTCCGCCCGCCATTTTGAAAATAGTTTCAACCGACCGTCTTCGGAATCGGGCATCAATAGTTACTCTCGAAATTCTGTCACTATAGTAAAACAAAATTGCATTTACTTCAAAAATAAAACTGTGAATTTCTTGTATGCCTATCAAACTAGTTGGGGCTATAACAGGCTTATGGTGAATGAAGCATAAATTCAGTATCACAGTATGCACTCGTACTGTGGATGATACCAGTTTCGTCTGTCGCCTTCTTAATGTAGGGACTGACATGGCAGGCGCGACCATTGCGGTCGGCAACGACGACGACCCGTTCGTACTCTCGGCTGAGACGTGTGGCGGCGCCCTCGCCGTCGAGGATCTTCAGAAACACCGCCCTCTGTTGGTGGAGTGCGTGCCAAGCGTAAATGGCCGCTACGTTTTCATCAGGGGCAACAACAAGCCAGTGAGCATGTGCGAAGTTGAGGTGTTCGGCAGAGCAAAAGGTAACGACTGTTTTGTGTCTTGATCAGAGGAGCTCGTCCAGTAGTTTGTCGTATCGCGTTTAGATACAAAATACCAAACAATTTCATCCTGTAGTAAAAAAAAAACACTTTCATTTTTTTTTCGCGTGTATACAGGTGACGTGTTCTACGCTGACACCTTAAGCATTCACGCCCTCGTGACCGAACAATAATCGGCCGTCATTCAAGAAAAGCGAGGCGCCAGACACCTCGGAGTTGCTTACGTCATTCACTCATGTTTAAGGCGCGTATCGGTTCATTAGTGACTTATTTTTCAATCGGGTAAACCATTATGTAACATGGATGTTGTGGTCATGATGATGCAAACGTTCAGAAACTCTTCTGCACTGCAATGCACTGTATCTCTTAAAATGTGACTGGTGTAAAACCGGTAACAGTTTGTTTAATTTGATCAAAGTAAACATGCAATGATACTCCAATGTTTGGGTTGCCTGAAGGTTGCCTGGTGTTATGACGAAACAGCTAGTAATATGGCCTATAAATGAGTCAATCGTATGAGTAGTAACAAGCTATATCATCCCTCCGCAAGCTAAGGAAAAGAGTTTGTTCTAAAACTCGGCATTCTTAGTGTGCTTACACTATGGATAATGTCATATGGACAATGTCAGCTTTCCTTCCTTTTAGTAATAGGCCTATATAGATGTAGTAGTGGGGTGGTCCAATGGTTACGGTGTTCGACTCGTGTGCTGTGGTACATGGGTTCGAATCCTGACGGGGAACATGGAGCACTTTACAACGATTGCCTCTCCCCACCGAGGTGAAGTCAATGGGTACCTGCTAGGAAGAAATTCCTTCAATGCTTGAGCGCCATAATGGCATGCAGCCGTGCTAAAGCTAGGGTAACAATAGAGCAATCAGGGTAATCAAATAACGAATCTCACGGAAACGTTCAATGAACTTGACTTTCAAAGCCGGATTAGACTAGCTCACTCTTTGCCTCCTTCGGGAATTCGTGAGCTCCTGCAATCAACTCCATCTAAATGTCTAACGCACGCAGTCGTCGGGCTTTTTGTGCTCAACCTTGGCGTGCTGCATGCGAATGTTCCTTGTTTATCAATGCCGTGCGGGCTTGGACAGTGCGCGGCAATTCATACGAACTTGACTTCAAACCGATTGTGGAAACGAAACAAACATGCTCTTTCAAATTAATAATGCCCTCGGAAACATCAAATGCGTAGCATCCCAAACAATGGAAATATTAATTTCCTGCGAGAAATCGTTGTGCTGGCAAATATTGACAATTTTGTGGCTCTCTTTGGAACTCGGTACCGAATCAAATAACTTCCCTTCTACATTCAATCTTTCACTATTCAAGCCAAAAGTGAAAAGATTACATTTCTTTCCCTGTGACTTCTGTATCGTTCTGCATGGTCCCTGTAATTTGAAGCCAACACCTTGAAGTGGCCTGATCCTTACGTTTGGGCGATACGGATACTGAAAAAAAAAATTCGTACGTCCACACAGCCTTTTTTCTGCTGTCGTCGAGAATAAGCTTTTGGCGTGTTTCTGTGGGAAACAGCAGAGATTATGAAGGTGTTCGGCTCGGAGAAAAAAATACTTATTAAAACACTGATTTGAGGTGTAATTCGTCGAGCACATTATGGGAAGTGTGCATCTCCCATGATGAGATGTCGATATGGCCTGGTGAAATGACCACACAAAATGGTGGTTAAAATCAGCAAGCTAAATTCCGAAACGCATATGCATAATACGTATCCGGTGCGCATCATTTCCAAACGCTAACACCGTTTAACCAATCAAAATACAAATTGAACAATTGGAGACTTTTAGACGCTTGGTGGCGCCAAACACACCGGTCTTTTTCCATTGTATGCGTCATTATGAACATGCTCACGTTTGTTTTAAGAATGAAGCAAACAATTCAAAAGGACCGTCAAATTTGCCGCCACCACGCGTTTCAAAAGTCTCCCATTACTCCCCTCCCTAATAGATCATAGGTCAGGTTAGTCTATAGACCATTATCATATTGCGGGCATCTTGATTTTTTTCCCATTCAAATCAACGTAACCAAAGCGAGGCTGGAAGGGAAAATAGTCTGATTCCTTTTTACACACAAAAAACATTATAATTCAGTACTGTTATTGGATACATACAGGGAACATGACTGAACTGGTGGTAGCATGTTAAAGCTCAATGGCATTGTACAGCAAGCGTCTTTGATATGCGTGCAGATTACTCAAAACAACACTGCGTCTTGACCTCAAGATTCTGACCATTCAGCGGGCGCCTTCTATCGCGGGTCTTCGGTATGGCAGTAAATTGACCAATCAACAGCTTTGACCGAATGTCTGCTTTAAATGGCGTCTTCTGAAGGTGGCCCCGATGTTAATATACTGGCGCCCGAGGTCGCGTAAACTTTACATGCACGGATATACAGACTTTGGTATAACCGTGTGGCTCTATCTGCACACGTAGACGTACGTCTGCTCTTCAGACTAAGAGCAGGTATAGCTGTCTAATTCAAAACTACAGACCGTGACGCAGCAAAGGCCCCTCGCACGAGTACATACCAGTACTCAAGGCACAACGCCTAAATAACCGTGTTAAAATACAGCTCCCCGGGCATCATGCCTGCCCTTCAATTTCACAGATAATTATGAGCTTCGATATTATGATTTTAAGATTGATAACAACCATGATGGGCATTTTGTCTGGAAGCATACAATCATTTCATATTCGGAAAATGTCAAGCTATCGCTGACATAATTATTTTAAGCGTTGGATTTGCGCCCGTGTGTTTGTGTGTCCGGTTCAATTGCACTTTCCTATTGTCTGCGTTAAACATGGTTCACGAACTTAAAGATTGTACAGTTCATTGGATTCAATTATAGTGTCTTGAGCTCAAAACGATCGGGTATAGGATTGACAAGATAGATTGTAGATAGTGTGCGTCTGTGCACTCTCGAGTCCTACAGCCACCAGAAAAAGAAGAAATGAGCTCCAACATTTCACGCTCGTCATCACAAACGCACATCGTTTGTTTCTAATTATTGTGTCAAAATCAAATTGCTTCAGGATGAAACAAAAAAAACATTGGGGCTTTTCAACAAACCATTGCAGTTGCACGTGTCTGTGACGCACGCGGTGTGGCAATTGCAGAGGCTCACGTGGTGTTAGTCACGTGCACAGTGGGCAGGGCCTAAAATGGATCGGTCTTCAGGTTGCATCCAACACACCCAAAGACGGCTACTGCTCAAACGATGACATTTTTAGAACAATTTAGAGAAAACAAACCTTGCCTATGAGGCCAAGTAAAAAAAACATGCTTAGCGTCCTGCCTTTTTGAAAACAGGAAGGATGAGGCCCTTTTTTCCCTCCAAAATGGCCGCCCGACTGGGCTATTTTTCAAGATGGCCGCCAGACTTATAGGCCTATATATCTGCATCTTGACATTCTTATATGAGATTCACATTGCCCATAGTGTGCCAAATGAAAAAACCACCACGCAAAATGGTGATTAAACAAGCGACCTTTTTTTCCGAACCACATTCGTATCTTGTTCGAAGTAGGATTTTTAATTGTCCCTTAACGGGATTTTACAAGTAATTATCATATGACCTCATTTGCATGTGACCCGGACAGAGCGCAGAGTGTATTTATCCACTGGTGACTTAGTGCCCCAATAATCTTAGAATTTTGATACAGTGTTATGTTCCAAGATATCTTTTATTTATTTAATCACTTTTTGATCGCTGCTAAAAATGATCAATATTTAGATTGGGTATATTATGATGTACTTCATGTAAGTTTTCGAACTGGGCGCTGTAATATAAGAGCCTTTTTAGAAACTGCGTGCTATCTGCACAAGCTGTTGTGGGTCGCCATGTTGCTTCATCGGACTGGTCTTTCGCCGGACTTACGTCACATTTTTGAGATGACGGTGGATCATTCTCACCATCAACTATATTTGTATAATGGGGGACATAATGTAGATGCTGCGGGTGAGTCTTTGTAAGCATATCACAATATTTGAGCAAGTTTTGTTGTTGTTGTTGTTTTCTCGCTTCGTGTCACTCTTTGGTTTCACGTGACATTCACTCGCTTGTGCCTATTTTCGCACGTGCGACCACCATTCAAACATGCATTTACATGCGACTCAATAACATATGGAGTACAGTAGTGACGAGATCCACTTCCTGAGCGCTCAGGCAAATAAGTTTGGTATTTTAACTAAACAACTTTAGTGCTATTTAATCAGGAAATATTTCAGGACTGAATTAACTATAGGGCCTAAGAATTACACAACCTTCAGGAATAATGTCTTGTTTTGAATTGTAACTCAATCTTTGAAATCCAATTAAATCTTAGTGATTCTTGTGAGATCCTTTGTACTGGTTTCTATCTTTACATTGATTGGTGTGTTATCCAAGTGCATAATCCTACTTATTCCCCAACCACACAGGGCGGATCCGGGGGGGCAAAGGGGGCCATGCCCCCCCCCCCAAACGAAACCAATTTTTTTTTTTTATGTGACATCGCAATAAAGGCAGGCAATGAGTACACCACCATCTTTTCCTAAAAAAACATTGGTTAAAGTGGTCAGAAATTGCCTCAGATCGCACCACAGAGCATCTAGAATCCAAAAAATTTTCGGGGCGCTTAAGCGGGCCCCGAACCCCACGCCGTCATTTTGTTGACCCACTTTTTGGGGGGACCAAATTTGTTTTGGGCCCCCCAAAAAATTGTGTTCTGGATCCGCCCTTGAACCACACACACAGTGGCAACACTGCCCAGAAGTGGGATTTCTTTACATTTAAAGGGGCATTATGGCCTGAAATCCCCGAAAATGTAATGTTTTGGATTGTTTACTTATGCTATTTGAAATGTCTAGTTGAAAGGAAACCAACATTATGTCTTACCGTTCCCGAGAAAAGACGAAAAAACCGGTTGTTTACAACGGACACGATGGAGTTCGCATGCGTTTTTCCTGTCGTTTGCATTCAATGAACGTACATAAATAACACACAGCACCAATACACAAATGTTGTTTCTTGCACGTCCGCAGAAGACGACCACTGTGCGGCTGGAATCACAACAAGCACTTACAGCTCGATTTTTTGGGACAAAATAATTGTGACCCCCCGTAATTCGTTCACGCGTGGTTCTCGCAAGAATAACACCAAAACGCCCGTTTTTTAAAGGACGGTTGACGTTTATAATATTCTACTTTTAAATGTTCTTTTCATTTAATGTCATTTCGTTTGAAACGCGTTTCGTAGCCCAATTGGGCGTATTCCAGGCCGTAATGGCCCTTAATAAGGACCATTGAGAAACGATGCACGTATACATACGGGATAATTAAGTGGTTCGGGCCGGAAAACTTGCTGATTAAAGTAAATTGATCAGTTGCGTTCAATTGAATTTCATCGAAATTTAATTCAGCCCAGTTGTGCTCAATTGAGGTGAAGTAATCTAAACTTAAATTAGACCTATATCGACCTTCATTGAATTTAAGTTGCTGTTTTCGAGTTTCATCCTGTAAAAAAAAACATATTCATTTTCTAAATTGCTTATTTTTTCGTTCAATTATTGAATTCAGTTATTGAATGATTCATTGAATTATTGCTTTACACATTTCGAATCAATTGCGGCCAGATAATTCCGTTCTCGCGCCGGATAGGCTGGTTCCCGCCCTACAATCAGTATAGATAATATGCGGACCGGGAACCAGTCTGCTCGCAAGGCATATCTGTTTGTCTCCAAAATAAATCGCTTTCTTCACAGGGCTGCAGAAGCCTCCGTACGCGAACAAGAGAGGGCGCTTTTTTACCAATTTCAATTGAACAAAAGTGAGCTCATGACAATTGGTCTCGCGAGCGACCTCATTTTCTGGTCAGTATTTAAGTATCAACCCGGAGACCGCTCGGTAACACCTTTGACATGCAAGTTCGGTTGTTTTCCCCCCGATTGTTTGAGGTGACACTATTCATTCTTATAATAAAAATTGGACATTTTCCTTGCTTTCTGCTGAGGTGATTCTTTTCAAAGTACATTGTACCCCATTCTAAAATTCGAATGAATTCACCCTGAATCCTCTTGTCCTCATGCAGTGTCACCTTTAAGAAAAGGAAAGTATGGCTTTATTCCGAGGCTTCAACCCTCTAAAAAACGGCAATTGACCAGATCTAGATGGTTTACTAAATGCTCCCCCACGTCCTTCAATCGGATTGAATAATCTTGAGAAAAAAATGCATTGTGCTCGAAAGGAAATAGGCCATGCACACAAAATCTAATTTGAAGGGGGGAAAATCGTTCCTCTTTTTAGGGCAAGCTTTAAATTTCTACCCGAGTACAATCCATTATAGGATTTTGTATGAATCCATTTTAATCATGCATTGTTGCAGGTAGCACTCATTCAGTTGAGTGGGATTCCTTTTAGCTTTTTATTTTTACATGTATTTGAACATTTTGCACTTCTATAAAGTAGGGCGTGAATAGATTCATTGACCTGATTATTAAATCTCATCTGTCGGCATAACTCTTCAAAGAAATACAGTTTTTGTCCAAATGAAATGGCTCATAAATATGAACATTAAGTGGGATCTAACGGAACTTACGGAAGCCTTCTTGATGTAAGAAATTTGGAATCAAAACTGGCCAATGGAATTCAATGTCATACTTTGTGCTCTGGCAAAGTTGATTCAGGTCGTTATTCGCAGGCGTGAATTTGCAAGATCTTCGCGATGAATCAGACTTGATTTTGGGCGGCGATGTAATTTTAGCCAAAGTTGCGCACGGACGGCCGGAGCATGCAGTGGCCGGGCAACGTAAAAATATCGTGTACGGGTCCTCAGATAGCCGCGAGTAACCAACGATGGCAGACGTAGCGATCCGTGTTATCCAGACAGTCTCAGCCACACTCGGGGTGCTTGGTAACGTTCTGGTGTGCGTCGTGATCGGTCGAGTACGCACCATGCACACGCTTACCAATGCGTTCATACTCAACCAGGCTGCCATCGACTTGATGGGGTCCGTATTCACGCTGATCGAAGCCAACGCGGGCCGGCCGAACCCCGTGCCGCCGGGGCTTGCCGGTGAACTCTACTGCCGCGTCTGGTACTCCAAGTTCTTCATCTGGGCCTTCTTTGCTGCTTCTACCTACAGCCTGGTGGCTCTGACACTGGAACGATACCTGGCCATAGTGTTCCCTTACCGGTACCAGGTCGTATTTACCAAACGGAAAGCGGTCTTGGTCATAGTGTTCGTTTGGATGCTGGGTTTGGTAAATTCCGTTTACAACTTGATATATGTAGCACCGGACGGCAAGGGACTGTGTGTTTCGGTCAAGGTGGCTGGGTCTCAGATCATTGGTGCGATGCTGTTCCTGACCGAGTACGCAATACCGGTTGCGGTAATGTTGTACGCTTACATCCACATCACGATGGTGCTGAAGCGAAGCGCCAATCGGGTCGGCCCAGTGACGGGGGAAGGAGCGGGAAATCACGGCGGACAGGAGCACCAAGGCCGGGCTGGTTCGCTCCTCCGAGCCCGAAAGAACGTCTTCAAGACGCTCCTGATCGTCTTCTGCTCCTTCGTGGTCTGCTGGACCCCCAACAAGATCATCTTTTTCATGTTCAACTTCGGCTGGCCGCTAGACTTCAGCAGCTCCCTGTATGTGTTCTCCGTGGCTCTGGTGGCAGCTAACGTGTTCGTCAACCCGGTGATCTATGCGCTGAAGTACCGGCAGTTCCGTCGCGGCATTAAGGTCCTACTCGGGCGAGCTGTGCACGCTGATGAGATATTCACCACTTCAGCTGGACAAGTCCCCATCCAGAGCAACGCTTAAAACAACGGCATTCCTGTTCGTGATATGGCCTGAATGAGAAGAACCTTTACGAAATATTCGAACAGCGGAGAGGTTAAAATTCGTTAAAAGATGAAACACTATCGTCAAGTCTTGTAAAATTCAGACTGTCATGCCAGACACATCTGGAGTCTCGTCTCCGGCGGCTGAGGTCAGTTTCTTTACAGAAGTGTCATGCACAGCCAGACCACACAGAATTTATCAAACTCACATGTCATAACAGTACTCGTCGTCACTTGTACCGTGTGATTCGAATTTGTCATTTCTAGTCACATGCCCTTTTGCTATATGTGGCAGTTTGTAAAGGTAGGCCTATACACCATCATCATTTTGAGGGTTTTTTAAACAAAATCCTGGAACACTTGGCTTCATTTTTCGTCGGTTTAAACTGTAATATTTTATTGTTGACGCAACTAGTTGGCAATCGTAAGAACAGGAACTATGCACGTTCACTTGTATCTGAGAGATCTACTGAAAGTCAGGGTACGGAATTTTGTTTTAATTAACTTAATAATGAAATTTAAAGGATAGACCATGGAATCATGTTTTTTGAACAAACACCTTCGTCCGTTGGTCAGCATGTGTTTTCAACTTTGTGTTTGTTGGCTACGCTTTAATGGTTGGTTGAATATAGTTTAAGTTGTTGTTTATGGTGGGACTATTTTAAATTCATTATGTGGCTCTTCTGTTTATTTAAAGTTGCTCTCCCCGTAAGGTTTTCGAGTTTCACCAAAAAAAAAATAATAATGTTTTTAAATTGCTATTTTTTGCAATAAATAAGTTATTCATGTTTAAAAGAGACATCGACCCCAAAAATTACGCTCGTCGTATTATGAAATATTTATTGTACACATTGACTTGTTTTGCGGCCCGAAATTCCTTCAGGCATTTCTTTCGTGCGTTATGGGCGCAAAGCAACACAAATTTAAGCGTATTTCCAGAGGGTTGAAAACGTCCAAAAATAGAAGAAAAAGTAGCTATTCCGTTTGAATACAACATAGGCTACAAGTTGAAAATACGTTGGGAGGAAAGAAATCAACTCTGTTGAAGAGCATGCGAGGGAATATCAGCATAAAAATTGACAATTTGTTCTTTGATTGAGTCTATATTAGTCTGTGCTTTCTGTGATGCGTTAATGTAATTTCATCACTACGCGGTACCTAATATTATAACATTTGCTCGTATTTTTCACAATGAATAGATCGTATCGAATACCCCCATGTTGGCATAGCAACAGCGCAGCGACGTACGCACCGCCATGTTGTAGGACGGGCAAGCTGGTCTAGCTAGCTAGTCGTATAACGCATACCGATATAATACGATCTATAGCAGACCTGGTTGACGGCAATTTGTTTGCGGATATGGTGGTGATCGTTTTTAATGCCAACTTCATAAGTTGTATCTTTTAGGTCTTACGCTTTTTTAAAGTTACATGTATGGTCGACACAAAGTGTTTCTGATTATGTGACTGAAATATTTTTTTTAAAATTCCCTTTCAACTCTGTTATTTAACAAAATTGACAATTTTTTTTTTCAGGAAACTAGCAACAATCGCATTGAGAGGAAAAGTTAGTCGAATACACAGTGATACACTATCTTGCTATGACTTGGTAGACATGTTTAAAAGCTAAACATTACATGTCCAATTCCTAAACATCAATATTCAAGTAAACACTATCCGTCAATACTCTAAACATGTTTAGCATAGCAAGAAAGAGTTTAGAAAAGTGTTTAATTGTTGAACATCGTTTTTTGCATTGTAGATTGAGTCTGCACTGCATTTGTGCCTTTTTTGTCAAACTCAATCTAAAGAGTATTCTTTTTTTCACGCTTAATTGTCTGATTCCCACTTTCAATGGGAGAAAATTATCTTTCAGAATCCCTCCTTTTCCCAGGTTTTCCAAAGTCAGTTTCTACGGCTGTTATACACTTCAACTTAATAATACAATTAAAGCGAGATATGTATAGAAATAGCTGTTATTCTGTGTGTGTGTTCTTAAACGATCTCATAGCCGTGCAAATTACTGTTCACTTTTTTTTCGAATGGATATAACCCGTTTTGGAAATTTACCCTTACTATGGCCAAAAAAAAAGTCTCCGGTTTCTGGTATGGAGCTAGCCCCAAAAGTGGTGCGGCGACGCGGCTTTTTTTTTTTTTTTTACCTGTTTTTTTTTTTTTTTGGCTTCAAATGTCGGCTGATGACTGCAAATGGTGCCCGACTAAACTTAGTGCAAATATATGGGAGTCCAGAGAGGCCACATAAAGCTTATTCTCGATCATAACCCCATCTAAAAACACGTTAAAATTGTGCAGCAGCAGAATTCCAGGCAAACCAGTGAGTTTGGCGGTTTTGAGACATCATCTTTTATTGAAAAAAAAACTTTTTCATTTTGCCGACGCGCATGGCTACGGCGACGCGCGCGCATACCAGAAACCGGAGACTTTTTGTTTTTGGCCTATCCGACGAATTATAGCAACCGCGCGCGCGTGTGTGTCGTGTCAACGCTTGCGCGCGCTTCGCCGAATAAAAAAAACGGACTACTAACGGAAATTTCCAACCGTGCGTCTTAAGACGCACCGTTGGAAAGGCCTTCTTTCGTTGATTACTTCAAAATGACAGCTTGTCAGAAAGAATAATTTCACAGGGAGTTTAGTCCCCTTACTATCTTTCAACCAAGTATGTTTTTTTAACAATAAGTACGCCAGCTACTTTTCGGATAGCTGCAAATGATGGACTATAGCTTTATTGTTTTGTTGTGCATAAAATTGAGGCATTCATTCAGTGCAGCTCGAAGCTAAATTGACTTGCATAATGCGTAATGGTCATAGAGTTGGCTTCTTTTGGGGAATTCAATTATTTTCGTCAGATCATTAATTTTCCCTTCATCTCAGTGGGGGGTTTAGTACGGTTTGAATTTATGTCAACGGTTATTTCAATACCTGTTAATGGTGCCTTATATAGATATAGAATAAAAAAGACTAGATCGGCAGACTCCGGTCATTATAATGTCCGGGAGGCAATGCAATGTCTCCCTAATGTCACCGTTTGCTGCTATTTAGAGGCAAGTTTTTAGTGTCGCAAATAGGCTAGATCGATTGTTCGTGGTCCAAAACATAAATACATGTATACCGAAATTCATGGGGGTAGGATAAGGTAAAATTGGGGTTAGGTGACATGATCAAGATGGAAACGTTTGTGCACACACTGAAAAATTGCCTGTGTTAATTTTACCCAAGAAAGGGTGAAAACTGGAACTACCCAAACTTGGGTTGTTCTATAACCAATTGTTTGGGTTAGAATTTGTTAAATTCAACCAAAAGTTGTAGTCGTACAAGACCAAATTAAATTTGGTCTTGAATGACCACAAGTTTTGGTTGAATTTAGCAGAAATTCTAACCCAAACAATAATGGTTACAGAACAACCCAAGTTTGGGTAGTTCCAGTTTTCACCCTTTCTTGGGTAAAATTAACCCAGGTAATTTTGCAGTGCAAGTCTATGGGAATGTCTTCCAAATGACTCATTTCCCGTAATAATTATTCTGTTTGCTATTTTTGAATAATATGTATGTTCTTTTTAAAATTGCATTTGTAGATCTGCGCATGCGTACATCCCGTGAAGTCCTATTCTGTACTCACATGGTTACTCACTCACTTACTCACTCCCTCACTCATTCGCAAAGCCTGGACGCGACTTATTTTTTCCCAAACAACATCGTATCGATGGTTGTTGAGCGCCCTCTACGATACTTTTTTTATATCATACGCAGGTATATAATGCCATGAATTACGATCTGCTTTCCAGCTTTCCGATGGCTCAGCTTGATAATGCCATGGTTTTGAGATCGGAGGGTGTGAGTACGATTTCGAAACTGCATTTTTCCAATATTTTTCTTTTTTAATTTGCGGCTTTGGAGGATTTTTTTAAAGTGGTAATTATTTCATTATGGGTTCGAATTCATTACTTTGTTTCTTTTATATATTTTTTCTCATGTTTTTAGGGAAGTAAAGTCCAAAACCTCATAGCGTACATCCATTTGCTTATGTCGTTTAGCAAAAAAATCGCAGCCCAGACAGCATTGCAAGGTCCGTCGCGCTTATCTCCTGTGCCCACGTCGAGCAGCTTGGTTCCAAACGCTCTCTACTTCGCTTGGTCGACCCAGTTAATCGATCCAGGGTCTCCTTGGGCGGCCTCTGGGCCTTGTCCTGGGGCTGACTTTTCCAGGAGTCGATAGCGATGCCGAATGACTTCTTGGCCTGGGTATTGTCATCAGCCAGGAGTACGACGTGGCTGAAGAGGGCACGACGCCGGCGGAGGATTATGGAGGACATCGTGGGCAGTTAACTGTTCTGCACTGCAGGTATATTAAACGTCGTTGTTGCTGACGAAGTCAAACCAGCGAATACCAAGGATGGATCTCTGACGACTTAGATGGACTAGATCGCAGTTGAGAAGGGTCCGTGGTCTCTGACCCGTAGAGTAGGACAGGGGTGACTCGACCCCGAATTCACGCAGTTTATCACACTTCGATCTAGATACTTACGCAACAGTTTTTAAACGCGATGTCTTCACGGAATACGCACCTGATTGGTAGCACAGTCCAATTATCTCTTTTATTCGACGGTACCAGTAGGAAGACGCCCCTCGTAGAAAATGGTATGGTAATTTACTGTCCCTTTCCATGGTAATTCGTTTGTAGTATTTTATATGTTCTCGGAAGTCCAGGTGAAAGCACATTTTTTTTGAACGTGGTATAAATTTGAAGCGTAAGGTAGAGTGTGGGGGAGAACCATTTGTGCGTTTGGGAGAGAGAGGTGTCCAAGAGTAGTGTGTGAAGTTGTGTTGGGTCGTCGCCACCCGTGACCAGCAGGCGAGTGGAAGCAGCCACCGCAGGTACCTGGCCAGCCATACCTAAACTGTTGAGGCCGAGAGCCACGTATAGTCAGAAGTACATGTAAAAGTACTTGCTTGACACTCTCCAAGAATTACCGTAAGTTCCTTTTTATTATCAAAAACTGATTTTTGAATCGTGTTTGGGTATAATCTGAATCCACTTATTTAGACACCATTTGAGATCAATTTGTATTTTCATGCGTGATTCCAAAAGAACCGAGATTTGTAGTGTTTTGGGTTATTTTACATTTCATAGATAATCATTTTCCCTGGTGGGAACAACCAACCCTATTCCGATCCCGTGAGACCAATCTGTAAATGGCAGGGACCCCACTGCAGCCAGGCGGTGACTGATCAACACACTGATCGAGGCAGAGACGACAATCCAGTCAACGCTAGTGTCACCCACTTGAGCCGAATTCTGTATCTGGGGAAGGTTGCAAGTATCTTAAACATAACCTAGAATCTGGAATCTAAAACCCACAAATTGGCTTTGATTTAAATTGTAATTTGTAAAACTTAAAGTCCGGTTGCTTTGTTTTTTTTACTTTGTTTCTTTTAATGTAACAACTAAGTTGGCTTTATTTGAAGATTTGGATTGATATTTCTGTATTCGTTTCTTGGCTGGATCAGCAAATTTTCCGTTACTATTTGTTAAGACTCAGTTGAAAAATTGCTGAATTATTTTGTTGGATTGAGCTTTCATATTTTTTGTATATAATTTGTATGCCTTGCTAAGTTAACCTGCTAAGTTAACCCGTGCTAATTCAACCTGCGATTTAATTTGCTTGATTTGAGAAGTTTCTTTTGATTTGCCTAAGTTAAATTCTGTTACATTTTGTCATCTTCAGAGAAACCCTGAATTCTTTGGATCGTTCTTAAGTTGAGTTCTTGAATTGTGGAAGATCCTCTGATTTAATTTGATTATTTTGTAGATATTCTTGTAAATATTCCTCTTCTTTTTTTTTCATTTGATTTTTCTTTAAAATAAAATTGTGCTTTTGCTCTTGAAGTTAAAATCAAATCCGTTTCTGTTTGCCTTATTTACTGAGTTGAAGACAGAACTATCCCATTTATCTAAGGTCTTGAGAAAATACTTGACATCCAAAATATAGGGAAAAAACATATTACACGGCAGCTATTACTATTTATGCAAATTAGGCACCCCTCCCAAAAGAATATCAGGTGTCACCCCTTCTTTAGGGCTAGTATAAGAATCTATCTGCCAAGTTTGGTGCTTTGGACCAGTCGGTCACGATCTTGTCAAAAATTGGATCTAGGCCACTTGACTAAAGGTCGAGATTTGTAGCCTCACCGTACTCAAGAGCCGCATTCATCAGGTCTTCAGTCTTATGAGGGTTAGCTCATAATTTTTCTGCTAGTGCTATTAGCGAAAAATGGTGATCGTAAGCGCGGAGTTCGTGGTTAGCAGCGCTATGAAATTGGGCCCCATACGCAATTACTTTTTCTGCAACCAAGTATAGTCAATGACCATAGTGCGCATGCGTTAGTTGGTAATGAATGGTTCTCGGACTTAATAACTTCCCTTTAAAACAAATCCTCCAGAGCCACGAATGAGAAGAAAATGCTGAATTTTATTTTTATTCATCATCATTTTAGGGAAGAAATTCACTTTTGAAGGAAAACAATGAAAAATGTAAAATTCTCTCAAGGATTGGAATCTGGAACCTCCAGCATTCAGACCAGCGATTTATTGCGCAGCATATTTAGTTGTTCACGTGACATGTTTCACGCATGCGTATACGGTGAATTACTTTACCGAAATGCACAAAATATATATATATTTGGGCGCAGGCTTTTTGGGGGATCCAAATTTTTTTCGGCCCCAAAAATTGTGTTCCGGGTCCGCCCTTGCATTTTCAGGTTTCATTTTTACTGAAATATCAATGTACCTTAAAATGTCATCCGTGGACAAGGTTAAAACAACAGTGTTTGTGTCCAAAATTCCATAATTGGAAAAATACATGAGCGATCTGAGTGATTCTTTCACTAAAAGAAAGCTTATTAATTGGGCTTTCAAATCCTAGATTAGTAATACGCTACATGCAGAAATTCTTTTCAAAATGGGGGCACCATTTTGGTTTCCTTTTTTTTTTTACCTCGCCCTGTACAGTCGACACAATAAGAGGCAGTATGGGATCCGTGCACAAGTACCCCATCAATGGCCAGAAAAGGAGAGTTGGGGGTGACCTAGACTGGTTCCCGATCCATCCACAACGTATTTCGAATGTATCCAAAATTATTGGAGGCGGGGATTAGTCTCGAAAGTCGCGCGTACTTCGCGCGCGAACCAGTACGTGTAGTCGTGCACACCACTGATCTCTATATAAAGACTGGATAGCGGATGTCCATATACCATTCACACAGTAGACTTTGCATATTGACCAATTCGCCCCCGGTCTCACGAAGATGGCCGCGCATAATACGAACGTACAGCGAGCGTTGCATCAACAGTTGACGCGAATTTTGTCACGTACACATAATTATGACGTGCTAAAAAAGGACACATTTCCGTAGTGATTATTATTTCCAAAACGCCGAAAAAGTGAACTGCGGCATTAAAAAAGTAAACCACGACGTTAGAAAAATTGTACCTTGGTCAGCGGTGGTGGTCAAAATACAAGTTAAGTGAACCGCGATGTTACAAAAGTAATCATGATGCTATAAAGACGGCAACTTGTCCTTTGTAGATCACCAGCCGGTCTCACCAATATGGCGTCAAATGCATTTATTGTGCGGCTCTTTATCCAGTCTTTATATAGAGATCAGTGGTGCACGCTGTGTGTCCCGTCCACGGAGCTCTCAAAAGAGGTAAAAATGCGCCCTCTTTTGTTGGCGCATCATCCACACTACTAACCGAAAGGGCAGGGGAACACATTTTGTCCATGGATCACAATAAAGGTAAGTGATATTTCAGCAAAACGAAAACAATTCCCCATCAAAAAACACACTCTCATAAATGATAATTGGCACTCATCATAACCATTTATTTAAGCACCTCCTGCTTCCAATATTAAAACAACATGCTTTACAATGTCAATAGTTCATAGTCTTGCCTTACCTTCTACTTGGCTACTCGAAGACTTATGGGATTATTCTGATATCGTTGTCATGATACGACATGGTTTTATTTTTATACTGAAATATCACGTGCCTATAAAATGCGATCCGTGGACAAACATTTAAATCTGTGTTTGTGTTCAAAATTCCATAACTAAAAAAGTACATAAGGAATTTAAATGATTCAATTGGGCTTTCACATTCTAGATCTGGAAAGCGCTACATGTAGAACTTCTTTACAAAATAGGGGGCGCCATTTGGGCTGCACTCCCAGTCCCACCTGTCACTTTGAGATTTGGAAATCGAATTAAAAACAATCGTACAGTACTCCAAGTGCAGTCTGATAATGGAACAAAAAAGGATGTGCAAGATATGCATTGTTACAACTACGAAACTGTGATTACGCCACACTAATCCGGACAAACGACTACTAGTTTGTTTGGTTTTTTTTTTTTTTAATCAAAGAGCCTTCATGATCGGCAAAATTCAACTTGGTGTCAATGCAAATACCAAAATCTGTCCGAACATGAACCCTCTCAATAGCATTACCATCGACAGAATAACCTTAGTTAAAGGGTTTCTTCTTCGGAGTAATGGTAAGGACACAACATTCCTTAACTTCAACTTCAAGTACGAGCGCCAAGTAGTGCTCCACAACAAATGAATGTTATTCTGCAAAAGCCTTGGACCTAATGGTAAGTAATGGTAAAGACACAACATTCCTTAAGATTCAACTTCAAGTACGAGCGCCAAGTAGTGCTCCACAACAATGAATGTTATTCTGCAAAAGCCTTGGACCTGATTCATGTCATCATGAAAGGGATGGACCTTATTCATTTCACGCAACCCGTCACTTGTGCATTAACTTCTATTCACCGCTCTCTCGATCCAGACATTATGTAAAGATCGGTGGTCTTTTAACTCAATGACTGATGTAGGCCTACAAGCGTACAACACTGCCATTGTCCTGACCGTTGCCATTGTCCTGACCGTCTTGGGAAGTCATGTCATCATGGCAATTGGCATCCAAAGATCGACGCGAGCTCAACGATCTTGGTGGCGCTATTGCCATCGGCCGCGCTGCTTCACTTATGGACGGAAGAGGGCGCTATTACGCGACCTCTTTTCATCCAAACCATCAAAATGGTGAGATTGTGTAAAATACGGCTCAAAACAATCCGTTTCATCTTGACAAATGTAAATTAAATATCGCTTGTATCTTCAAGGGATTGTAATGACCATAAACTCAAGTATTATATAAATTCAGTATTATAAGTGAAATGGCCAAATAATTGACGCATTTGCTTGTGCCAAAAGCTGAAAATGATAAGATTTACATCGCCCTATACGTTTACGTACGTACATGATGTAGGATGGAACGCCGTATTATCGCGGTACTTATCACGTTTCTCGTTCGGAATAGAGATTGCCCACTAACCTTCCAGAATTGTCCTGTCTTATGTGTAGTATAACTCTTCCTTTTTAAATTAATATAAAAAAATCTGACGGGTAGTGTGGTTTATTCCGTGTACGATGCCTGTGAAAATAGACATGCGCGGCGTGTGCGAACGGAGGTGGACTCCCTATTATCGCGGTATGCGGGAAGTGGTTTTTATAATGATCCCAACTTTTTTGTTCATAGTTTATGTTTGACCAAAACACCCCCTGAATAAAGTCTGATATTTTCCCTGTAACGTTCAAGTTAATTAAAGACAAAATGTCTGCAGGATGATTTCTTAAGACCCTGCCCTTCCCCCGAAAGGAGAACACAAATCCCTGAGGCAAGTCTACTGATCGGCGATTGAGGGCGCCATTCACTTTACACGGTGTGCCGTTTTATTTTCGCTAACGCGCGGTGCTTATTTTGATCCCGTAAAAGTTGTTACGATTTCGAGCTGCAAATATCGTCGTTCGACTTCATTTTACATTTGCAGCTCAAGAATGGGAACCAGACAATGGAACTTTCATGGACAGAGCGCAATTAAAGATTTATGTTAAAATATAAACGGTACCTTTTAGCAGACACGGTGAGGGAAAATTTTGCAAGTTTTGGAAAACGTTAATATTTATTAAAATCGTTAAAAGTCCCGAAAGACACAACATTTTTTAATCGTCCTTTTTATACAACTCGGTAGAAAATCCTTGATGACTGGTGAACTGGATAAAAATCGCCACTTGAAGGAGTTTTGACACTGTAAAAAGAGAAATTTCCCATGCCGCGATAATAGGGATGCCGCGATAATAGGGAGTCCGACTATATATAGGTGACGTGAATCACTGAATGGCCTGATGTGAAACTGAGTGAAATTCATGTTCTCTAACGCTACTCGGGAAGAGTTCCATTTATGGACATCACACATTTTCCCTTGCAGTGACTAGTATCAGTCATCAGAAAGCGATAACATGTTCTAAAAAGTCAAATTTAGCAGGGAAAGTAAAAACCTATTGAACTTGAATTGATTTTTGAAGCACCATGTTTGCTGAGAATAATTATTAGGCTAAGTGAGATTGAGAAAACACTTGGAATTGTTTAACCCCAACTATAGGCAATGATAGGGGCCTAGTCATGCTAGTCTAGTGTGGCTCAGTTTTGGATATTGCTGCGCTGTAGTCTTTGCCACACATCCTGTCATTCCGGCAGCTGAGGAGATGGTCAACATGGTCAACTAACTTCCAATAAGTTCCACACAGCCGGGGAAAATGAACAGTTTATTGCCCTGTATTTTTGTATTCTATGATGTCTCTGCTTTTAAAATTTTGTGCTCAGGCTTGAGTAGGTAATCTTATCTCCAATTTTTCCAGAAATGTAGACATCTTTCTGGATGCCATATGCATACATACAACATGTACAACGTTTGCCGATGGCAGCCATGTTGAATGTCAGAACTTGATTTACCCCAAAGCTGTGACATTGTGTTTATATGCAAATCGCTGCACGAGTTGCAATCGACGTGTATTTCTTGTACAATGGATTCGACCAGACAGCATCCGTTCACCATCCTGGAAAATCTGCCATCTTGGCGGGAAAATGGCAATTTAGAAAAGAGTCTGTATTGCAGGATGAAACTGGATAAATAGCACATGGAATTCCATTTTAATCACGTAAATGCTTTCTGACTTTTCGTTGGTAGGTCAATGTACCGAAGGCGAGACGTACCTTCTGCAAGAAGTGCGGGCATCACAAGATGCACAAGGTGACCCAGTACAAGGCTGGCAAGGCCTCTCTTTTTGTCCAAGGTATTGTTTTCACATTTCATTAAATTCTTGGGAAGAATACAGTATCCATACGCCACCTCTTTGGTCGTGTACAAAATCTATGGAGTGCATTTTCAAAGTATTTTCTAACAAAATTGGAAATGTTCCTCAGTCCCTAATTCAGGTCTTTTCAACATTTTTGCAATGACTGACCTTCATTGAGATAGTATATGGTGGAAAAAGTGGAGTCATGATGCAACATTCTTTCAACAAAGGTTACGATTCAGCTCGCACTGCAAAAATCAGGCATGCAACTTTTCCTCGGATCTGCTGATTTCCTCGTTTTTACTTCTCATGAATGCCATTACAAATTGAAAAGCACTGTACAAAGTCTTGTGTGGTTTGGAGTTTCCTCGTTTTTTCCTAAATTCCCAGTTGCATGCCTGAAAAATGGTCTACCAAACGGAAAAATAAGCAGTGCTGTGCTATCATTTTAATTACCCCCGACTCTCACAGAATAGGTCCCCAACCCATAGCTTTACCTGAAGCAACCATTTTGAGTTCCCCTGCGGAACGAAAATGCATGACAGCTGAGCACTGAAGAAGGTAGCCTCGTCCAGTGTTAGTTTGCACTGGGCCTGATGTCCCTGAAAAGTTCAAGTGCTGTCTGGTTCGTTCACAGTGGTGGATTTTTGGAGATTATCTTTAAAAACAGAATCCAGCAGGCAAAAATCAGTGGGGGGGGGGGGAAGAATATACACCGTTGATATCAGAATTTTCAATAACCGATATATCGGAAATCCAGTATCGAGAATATTTGATATATTGATTATCCCATGTCAAAGTTAAAGACCATAAAGAAGATTTTTTTAAGAAGCAAAAATAAAAATGTTAAATCCCAATTTTCCACGGCTTTCTCTGGAGTATATTGCTCCAGTATTTTAATACAAATCTCAGCATTGACAGTTTGTCCAGAACAGGTGGTTTCTTGTTGAGGTTTTACATTGGGGGAGACCGTGAATTCCAGCCAACGCAGAGCACAAAGCCACACCGCTTGGCATTTCACAACGTTTTTATTTTGAGTCGCAAGCACAAGTTGCGCCAAGTTTTATTTCATTATACAGCAAACATTAAACACAAAGTAAAAGCACAAACAGGAGGTTTATTTTGACGATAATCTGACACATTTTTTATGTTTTTGACACATTCCTCAATACATATTTCGCCCATGTAATCTTTTCATAATATGAGTGAAGTTTAAACCTTAACCCTTTCCTTACCATGGGCGACTTTTTTCGACAAGAAGTAGCCCCCTGCTGGTTCCCATAGGTGACTTTAGTTGACCAGGAAACCACACACAAAACACCCTCAGCACAGATATATTTACTACTTTTCAGAAAGGCGGCATGTTGATATGTTTGGCCGCCCATACATCAACTATATACCAATGAAAGAGTGTTTTCGGATCTTTCTAATGGTGTAGTTTATTCATAGTGTTACCATACAAAAAAAATGAGAAAAGTGCTTCAGAAGTATCCACGCACAATTTGAGGTATGGAGTGCCATTTGGTCATGTGGTGAAATGGCTTGCAGTTTGATAATTGGGACCAGATGAACAAAAAGGCATAACTTCCTTATATTTGCACGTATGGACTTCAGTTTTACATCACATAAAAGAGTATGGTTCAAGGAACAAACTTTACACACAACATTTATGATTTTAATCAATCCTTGGCAATGAAAATCTGGGTTGAAAAAAAGTTAGTTTTTGACTCGTGCTCATTTTGTTCACGCTCTAGTGATTTCTGCATGACTGAGCAAACAATTTGGTCCTGGGGGGCCCTAGTCAATAAACAATGTGGGCATGAAAGGGTTAAATCCTTGTCTTTCAAAAATGGATGCATATTTCATGTTATTGAAAAGCGGCTTGGTACGAACGTTGGTCGGAACTTCATATGCAGTAGCAATTGTAATAGCCATTGACAAGAAGAAGATTTATAGTTTGCACAAGAAACCGTCACTGCAATTGTCTTATGATATGTTATGTTTTTATTCTCAAAGGAAAGAGACGTTACGACCGCAAACAGACAGGGTATGGAGGACAAACCAAACCTGTCTTTCACAAAAAGGTCAGTATTGGTTCTAGTCTTTCTTTTCTTTTTGTTTGTACCTAAAGGGCCAGCGTCGTTGACTACTAACTGACGGACTGAGTCAAGGAGTGTAAAACAGATTTAATTAAAGTCTGTTTCCCAATTGGTTGATTTTAATATTGGGTAAAAAAAAGCTTGGTGGTGAGGGAAAGTCAATATTTACAGACACATCTTGGTTATACAAACTTTGATTGAAAGTCAAGATAAGACGTAGGTTGTCATTTGGAATTGAAGATCCGATGAGTTTCATTACCAGACACTGTTCATGAACAGTACTGGCATGCAACTTTTCCTCGGATCCGCTGATTTCCTGGTTTTTTAACTTCTCATGAACACCATTACAAATTGAAAAACACTGTACAAAGTCTTGTGTGGTTTGGAATTTCCTCGTGTTTTTTTTTTTTTTAAATTCCCAGTTGCATGCCTGACAGTAGACGGCGATTTGTGATATCAAAAGCTCTCTGTGTGAGACACACCACTTTCACACACCACCTCACGTGCATGAGGCACAAGTAATTTTTTCATTTCAATGTGCACAAACCCACGGTGTATACTAGAGTATACACCGTCTTCTAAAGTCGGCGTTGAGGTACATGTTCACAAAATCCACACTACAAGTGAATCAACTTCCCACTGTAGATAATGCTTGCTGACTATTGATAATATTTTTTAAATGGGTCCATCACAGGCGTTTTACTGTCTTGTCCACCCAGGAGTGAATGGGTACCTGTGAGGGCAGAGATGGTTATTGTGATTGAATTAGCTTCCTTGCGCCTAACGGTCTACATCGAGCTGTATACTCCCCATGGAGCTGAGATGGTATTTGGAATGATTCATGGGCCCAATGAGCAGGGGTAATAATGACGTAGCGCCTTGAGCACCAGTCCTGGTGGATACGTGCGCTTTATAAATACCCACTATTGTCAATCCTCCTATGAAGTTTCCAGAATCAGTGAGGATAGACAGTCATGCCAAAATTTGGTGGTTTTTTTTTGTCATTCGTTTATTAGGCTAAGACCACGAAGAAGATCGTGTTGAGAATGGAATGCACGGAGTGCAAGTTTCGCAAACAGCTGCCCATCAAGCGATGCAAGCACTTTGAGCTGGGAGGAGACAAGAAGAGAAAGGTAAGATGGATTCCATGGTACTTTCACTTTCAGGACTTTTGAACAGGGTTCCCACAGTCATGGACAAATCCTGGAATATTGTGAAACCTAAGGCCAAGTAAAAAAATAAAACATGTTTAGCTTCCTGCCTTTTTGTAAAGAAAAAAAAGAAAGGAGGCAATTTTTTCTTTCTTCTTTTTTTCTTTTTTAAAGTGGCCGCACAACCCATTTTCCAAAACGACCGGCCAGGCTATTTTTCAAGGTGGCCGCCAGCTTTTTTTTTAAATGGCCGCCACTTGGACTCAGGAAATGACATACCAGCTTTATATGGACAAAGAGGCTAAAATGATGTCACTGTTTAAAGGGAATGTACAACATTTGCAAACATCGAAAAAATAAAACTACCAAGTACTAGGATGTTGGTAAATGACAGTCTTAAGCATGCTGTAAAGTTATGGCACCTGGTGTGAAGTCATTTTCAAGAAAATGGTATTTTTGTATACATTTCCAACGGTGGCCGACCACCGTTGGAAAAACCTAACTATTTTTTCAACTACTGCTCCAAATGTCACTTTGGTTTTTTCAGTCCAAATTTTGTTTGCTATTGGTTACATGTTCATGAACGGGTGTAGGCCAGCTAGACAGGTTCCCTTACCTTCAGCCAAGTAGGAAGGCTGAAAGGGAGTGGTGTCCCTTGCCTCCTGAGAAATAGGCTCCTAAGATACCAAAAACTGCGTAGGAAATGGCCATGGAAAGCCCTTATTTTATCCTGGAATTTCATTTCAAGATTTCTGTGGGAACCCTATTTTAACGCACTTTTTTTTGCAGGATTCCCAGAGCTTCCTCCCACATCACTGAAATGGTCGTGCACTTTGTGTCACTGTTGCACTTTTTTTGAGGGGGATTGGAAAATTGGAAAATTTTAAACCTCAATTTTTAATTTTCTGCACATATCAGATTATCAAATCTTTTCATTGACGACTGTAGTAAAGTTATAGGAAAAAGTGCTCAGGTGGTGTGAATTACCAACGTTGATAATAACAAAAACACTGTCCGACTCAGAAGTCAAGCATAGACATTCCTTGACATACTGATTTTTTGAGGAGGGGGACTCCACTATTTCAGTTCTGGGGGGGGGGGGGGGGGGGTTGGTAAATAAGGGGAAAAAATCCACTCGGCCTTATTACTCAAGAATATATAATTAAACAAGTGGCAACTCAAACTTTGTTCAACCGCGTTACCGTCTGTTTAATTTTGTCAAACACTTGGTGAGAAAGATGGAATGAGAAATAAATCTAATTATAAATGAATCCTTTTTTTTCCTTCTTTGCACTACAGGGCCAGATGATCCAGTTCTAGATGTGCTGAAGGTCTTAGGAACATGTAGGAATAGAATCCATCTACTGGTGTACTGTATATTGCAGCATTCGGAGCTTCTAGATGCACGGGCAACATGAAGTCTACAGATTTCACTGATATGGGCTAATCATGGGAGGGCTAGATTCTAACCAGTTAATGACGTCGCAGTTTGCGGTATGAGTTGTATGAATAAAGCAGCCATCAACATACAATGTAGTCACTTGTGTCTTGTCTTAGTTTTGTTTCTGGAGTTATGCCCTTGTACTCTGAAGTATGACTTGGCCTGAAATAATTTTACAATACCTTGGGTGCGTTTTGGCGGTCATAACCAAAATTGGTTCCGTTGTTTCTCTTTGGCTAATGGTTATGGGGGTTTGAGTATTGCATTACCGTGAGTAATTCTCGTCCATTTAAAATTCCCGCAGAAATTCACTGACAAGAAACAACCGAACCAATTCTTGGTTATGACCGCCAAAACGCACCCCGGCAATATGTGAACATTCCCAATCAAAATCGGGTGTACTTGGAATCAGAAGTATTCTCCCCCCCCCCCCCCCCCCCCCTCCCCCTTTACTTCTATGATGACTGAAAATCAGAATTGATATTTGATTGGTAACGTCTTGAAACGAAAAGATTTGTACTATGCTGTAATACATAAATGCGCATCCACAGGGCTTACTTTATTTTCAACCTCGTTAGAGCAGGTAGTGGGAGTGTACTGCTCGACACCATAGGACCGAGGTTGGACGGTACGTATAAGCTACCATTTATTTTGTTCATTTTTGCAGCGCCCTCTGTTGCCAAATGCTTTTACCTTTTCCGTGCCGTTCGCGTTAACGAATTCGACCGTTAATATGTGATAGCGCCCTCTTTTTTTCGCAGCATCGGCTGTGTATTGGCAGTTCCATGTGGCACTTTTTGCAAAGAGTAGACATTGTTTAGCCCTCAAAGTATTAGGAAGTTTGTTTTTGTGTCCTATCTCCTGCAAAAGGTTTTATCAATCATCTTTGTGACTATCGGCTTGATAAAGAACCGTTCGTGTGTGTTGTAGCGCCTTATTCTTGTGCCATTGAGCAGTGGCGTAAATCTGTGCCGGCGAGTGGGGGGATGGGGATGACCAAAATCCAAAAATTGCCCGGCCGTGGAAATTCGAAAGGGGGGGGGGGGCGGATACCACATTACATTAGGTGGCGCTTTTCAGGACATAGATGTATATCAATATGTAAACTCACGCTTACATCGAAAAGGCGTATTTTAAAAGCTTTTGTAGTTTGTGTCTCCAGTTTTCAGCGTTGTTGAATACATATTTGTTGTCGGGATGTTCGAAAAATACCTTGAAATGCGCATTTTTTTTCTCATCACGAAAAAGTGATGAGGAGGATGATTCAATAGCTCATCCCCCTGGTCAAAAAGTGGGGATATATACCCTCCACCCCCCCCCCCCCGGATTTACGCCCCTGCCATTGAGCATCAACAACAAAATATTAAATGGTAGATCTATCAGTTAATAATCACTTCGCAGGTTTGGGTACTGGAGGTTCGGTTCGTGAATCAGTTCCATCAAAATTGGATCCCTTTATTATCCATATTTATTGATTGAGAGGGCCGGCCCAGATCCGACTCACATGCACAACTATTCCCCACCATTTCGTTCATAAAAATTTGCAGAAGTTCCCGCTACAAGCCCCCCCCCCCCCCCCCCCCCACCCCCTCGCTCGCCGGCCGCGACTTTCTTTTTCCTAGGCGGGCGGGATGCTCCAAAGTAATGAATAATTCAATAGTTTCGATCGGGCCAGTGAAACAGAACAATGATATTAAGATCTTACACTTACAAAACAAAAGAAGTAACGCCACTTGAGCATGTTATTATGCAAAAACTAATAATAATGCAGCCCCTTGAATAAATCCTGATATTCATAATAAAACAAAAACAACGTTAACCCGCCGTTTCACCGCCGTTTATCCGTGGATTTTAAGGAGAGCGATTTGCTCTCCTCAAAGATTTGAGGAGAGCGATTTGTAGCTCTTCTGGATGGATTTTCTTTAAATGAAGGACTGTTTATAGCATTTTAAAGTACGGACGTCGTCCATTTACCACAGTAGCCTAGTGCCTGCAAACACATAATGCCAGTGATAACATTTTGAAAAGTCGCAACGATGTTATATCTTACACATTCAAAAATGACATTTTAATGACCGGTCACAAAAACATTTTAATAACGTTATTTAAATGCCTCAAATTTGACGTTTTATCAGGTATGTTATCAAAACGTTATTGCCAAATGTTTTAAACAAGATTTATATGGAGGAAATATCATGATATAATATACAAAAACATCTTAAACGCGTGAAATTTGACGTTTTATCAAATATGTTAAAGCGAGCTATCAAAACGTGATTTTTTTTTTGTAAAATCTTCAAGTAATGGGTCATATACATTCTCAGTGGTAAAGACAGAGAATGGACCTTGCATTAATGGTGGAAATTTGATCTGATATCAATCCCAAATACACCCAAGTTTGTGGGTTGGGCTGGGTGATGCCTTAGGAAATAACAGGTATTCATTTTCGTCCATTCATCAGATGCAACATATGTGTGCATTTGGTTGTGAGTGAATTCACCTAGGGAAAATAAACCTTTGCTCTTAATCACCCTGATAACATTTTGGTTTATTTATAACCTCAAATATTTATAACCTCAAATATTTATAACAACACAGTTTTTAAATAACATAGTTTTATAATATTCATAGTTTTATAATAACTGAATATTGCATCCCTACGTAAATGTTTTTCTACGATATTGATTTCTGATAGAAGGTAAGAGAGATCACCAAATTTCATACCGATCAGCCAAAGCGTTCAGGAGTAAGTTTTATGTGGGGGGTGTGGCTCCGCCCCCGGATACCCATGAGCTACAAAGATCCCTGGTTCGAATCCACGTCGTCGCTGCTCATTTTCATCGACTTCTTTCCTTCTCTGAATTTATCGTTGAGATAATTTTATTTTTATTTTAAGGGAAAAAAAGGAGAACGAGAACAAGTGTCTTGCAACGATTCAATGGATTATGCGTGACATTATTTTGACAAAAACCTACGGAAAATAAATTCGCTCCCCGCGCGCCGGCAGCACTTAATAGCGGGTACCAGGCTGAATCGTGCTGGTAACCGCTCGTACACATCGATAATAATCAATGATTATCGTGCACGTGGGGCCAAGCAATGGCGACAACGTTCTCGACTGGATCATTGTGTGTACACATTGCAACTGCCATCTTGCGTACGTCAGAATTTCGCACGACGCGACGTTCATTGGAATCTCTCTTAAAATATCAGGACAGCAAGGAGGTAAACACCCGCATTTTTATTAGAAGGTGTGTATGTAATTTAGAAACAAATCACGAGTACATCCAGTTTTAAATTAACCTTGATTTGCTTTGCATTAGGCTGCATCACGCGAATCACGTCTGGTCTGTCACTCTTTCTGCAGTCTTTGCGTAGTCTGTCAAGTGTCGTGCATGTCTGTGGCGCGCACAGTCTAGTCCGACTCCGATCTTATATTTTTCTAACGATATTCGTGACATTGGTGCGTGGGCCTGCGCCTACTTACATGTACCATGGAGTTCTGCGTTTAACTTAAAGCTGGAATGTACGGCATAAAGCTAAGCACTTTTTAAGTTTAACTTCAAGTTTTAGGCTCACTTAACATGCTTAAGTTAAGGGAAAGAATGTTGCAACCTGACGCCAATTCAGTGGTTGTGTACAAAGTCTATGGAGAGTCAAGACATTTTTTAAGTATGCCCTACTTCCTAACAGTAACAAAATTGGACATGTTTCTCAGTCCCAGATTTATGTCTTATCATCATTTTTGCAATGACGGACCTTCATCACTTCATTGAGATGATATATGAAGAAAAAAGCAGCGTCAGGTTGCAACATTCTTTCCCACGTACTCACTCGTTTCAAATGCATTTTGTGTTAGAACAAAACCCAGCCCGCCTAACTCCCTAGGGGGTGTGCAAAATCGTATTAAAATTGGAGTATTCAGGACTGAGTGTTAAGATAGCTAGGCAGTGGAGTGCCAGGCTCATGACATCATACATTAGGCCATCAACCTCAGTCCAAAATTTTAGCCACCAGTATCAAATGAGGGGAATAATCGTCATACATGTAGGCAGCGATTTTTGGCAAGGTATACACCTCCAGAGTTGGAAATTATGTGATAGCATTGCAGCGGTGGCAGCTTTTTGGGTGTTATCACCCTTTTTTTTCAAAATGTCCATCAAAATGCTTGTTACCACTCTAGGGGCGGTATACTTTGCGCATGCACACTATAATCATTTATGCCCTGATTTGATACTGACCAAACCTAGGCTGATGGCCTACATGGGAAATTTGCCATTTATCATGTTTTTATGAGCCTTTGCTTTACCATTGTTTATGTTAGGCCATTAAAAATTGATTTTTAGGTTTTCATTAAAAGCCTGCCCCAATGTTCATGCCCGCCCCAATTTTTTATATTTTATAATTTTTGAAAGTGTGTATTTTGAACTATTTTCTCTAATACAAAAAAGTAATAGGGTGTATTTTTTCAGACAAATTTCTCACAAACGGGCAACTCCATTTTTCCAACATGGCGCATAAATGCGCATGGCGCATAAATACATGCAGCATGCATGCACGCATTTACACGGACCCTTGTTCCCACCGCTAGACATGACTAGATAAGGCAAGAACGACAATGAAGTGGCGAGAACCAGCGTGGTGCATGTCCAAATGCCTGAACAGATTTCGAAGACTCGGACATAACAAATTGCTGACACAACAGCGTTGGAAATGATCGAAACTATCAAAAATCTTTACTGAAGGTTTAATTTTTTTTTAAACTTGGTCGCTCTTTCTGCATGTATTTTCTGCTGTCGTGATTTTTTCTCGAGGTTTTAATGCTTTTGTTTGTAGCGATTCAGAAGCGTGATTTTCTGTGTGACCGTCGCCGTGTGCCAGTGCACACATTGTTCAGACAGCTCACCTTGTAGACAGCCATATTGACAATGATTGAAGAGTGGTCTGGAAGTCTGCGATGCGCATGACAATGCACTAGCCAATAACACTGCAATACCCCATCATGAATATTTAATTTATTAAATATTCATTAGTCTTACTTCGATGGATACCTTAACTACATCAAATAGACCCTCAGCGCTAACAAGCGATTGTG